GTGGGCGTTGTAATCCCACGGCGGGTGGGCTTAGTCCAGGACCTGGGAAGGATGTCTCAGATGTGATCATTCACCCCGCATTAATTTATACACGCTTGTGTTACGCGCCACTATTCTCTTTTCTTCGTTCTGTAATTATCTTAAACACACATTGTGAAAATTTACATAATATCAATCTTTCGTTATAAAAATCGAATTAAGTCAGATGTTTGATGTGAGAAACACTAAAATTTTTCAATTAATATATATTTGATTTTCTCGGAATTATACCTGAAAATTGTTCTTGTGGAATAATTAATAATTGATTAATTCATAGAACCAAATTTTCGCGTCACGCCCGATGCAACGCGTGTTGCAGCGTGCGTGACGTGTGTCCTAGTGACGGTGGAGGTGCGTGCGTGCGTGCGTGCGTGCGGGTGCACGCTAGTGATCAAGATAGCGAAATTGTATAATAAGGAAGTCATTAAGAACGGTTACATCTTTCGGAAGGGTTTTCTCCATGAACGAGAGATTTACTCGATACTTGTTCGTTTAATAAGATTTCTCTCAGAAAACGCTCGTTTTATGAGATGTCGAAATTATTGAAACTTTACGTAAATATGGGAAATATGAGACGCGTCTCAGGAACGTTTTTCTTCTCCTAGTCATACTAGAAATTGCATAAGCAGAAAATTAATTAGATATACATATTTAATTTTTAAAATTTATATTTTTATAAAAAAAATCTGTGCATACATTTTTTCTTAATTATGATAAAGATATTTTTATATTAATTACATTTAGCAATAATAAATCATCTATTAGACAATTGTTTTAATAATATTATCATATATTTTATTATATTATAATAAATAGCTTGAATCGATAAGACGTCAAAGTAGATTAAATCTAATTAAAGGAGAAAAGAAAAATGATTTTATAAGAAAGAACCAATAAAAAGTATTTTATGTTCGGAACCACTTATTTACGAAATTCGAAAGGAATCCCACGTCTTCCCTCGTTAATCGTCCACGGAGGAAATCGCCGATAAGGGGTTAAACTAACGCGGCCGTATTCGCGTGCGATTAATTTATGAGGTGTTAAACGGCCGGCTCGAAGGGTGCATTTTAATGCACCCCTCACGCCTAACGTTATGCAACGCGATCCGACGCGACGCGACGTGACGCCGGCGTCGTTTCTCGTGCGCAGGAAATTGGAAGTGTTGCGCGGCGATAATGAGAAGGTCCCCGAGATCGTCCTTAACGATATCGCGCGCCCTGCTGTTGCACGTCATGCGGCGACACCCCTAACGACTCCATTTACACCCCCATGTCCTGTTTCGCGCGGAATCTCGCGCGTTTATAGGGCGCACTTTCGCCACGCGAAACCGCAATCTTGGTTATCTAGTTTGTTTTTTCTTTTTTCTTTTTACGTTACGCTTATACAGCAGAGCGTGACCGAACGAAGAGACTAATCTCGGATGTATCTATGAGAAAAAAAAACATCAGCAAAAAAAAAAAAATACACTCGGTACAATTGATTGAAATATCGAGCATAATGAAATTATATTTATATGTGCGCGTGTGTCTCTTTCTCAAGATATATATCTCTATACTTAATTATTATACAATTCAATCTATCGGATAGTTTTTAATTATGTTTATTTAAATTTAAAGCTTCTCTTTGAATCACTGAATATGAATCTGATGTCAAAAATGACAAGTTCTAAACGTATATATAAATTTATGCATTATGAAGAAGGTTCATCGTGTCCCACACGTCGGACAAAATCTATCTATCACTTTGAATGAACAATTGGATACTGATTTTTAGCCCGTTACTATTCTCTCTTCCGTTCGATGCCTCGTACACAGTTGATTATAGCATTATAGTTTCTTGCGAAATGGGCGAGTCACTGACATTTCTCTTTCTGCTCGACGTGCGCGTCAGGAGTGACTCATTGTCGAAGACAACGAACCCCGAAAGGAAACGAAGTGAGTGAATGAAGCGATGAATGGACCTTCTTATGAATGAATTTACTACCGCTTTGCTCTCTCTCTCTTTCGCTCTCGTGTGGATGATGACGACGCGATGGCGATTGTTTTTTTTTCCCTCTGTTTTTACTATACTCCTCTTCGTTAAATCGCCGTTTATTTCCGAACACGTCACAAGTTTCATGGTAAAAACGGTGTCTTTCGAATGTCGTTTCTCTATGCATTTATCTTTCACGAAACTAGTTATTTAAAATTGATCGAGAAACGTATCACGAAAATGAAAATTGATTTGGCCGAAGAATCTATCAGATATTAAAAGAACAGTCTGTCTTTCCGAAACACTCTGTATATACAACATGTTTTATATATAGGTATTGGTACTACTGACATATTCCTTGTCAAAAAATCAGCATCTTTTTCCTTTAGCAGAATTGCCAAAAATGCATCATTTTTTAACATGCCAATACAGTTTCATACACGTTTATTATTTTTATAAAATGAAACTTTCTTCATTTTATTTTATAAATTCAATAAAAACTTTAATTGACATTAAACTAAATTCCTTTATAGCAACAAAATGTCTTTTTTGATTCTAATATAAAGTAGACGTTAATGTCTATACGTAATTTCCAAAATTTTTACACGAAAAATCGAGAAACAACAGAAATGCAAAAATAAAAAACGAGAACAATGTATTTCCGGGAACTTTTCCACAGGAAAAGATGCTCATTTTTTAACAATATTAGATTATTAGTCTGCATCCTATATTTATATGGGACATCCTGTATATAGGGAATGATTGCACGTGTATTCGTATGCATAAATTACGTCGTCCTTTTAGAGACTAGATATTTTTCGATTCGAGAGTTAATTTCTCTCTCTCTCTCTCTCTGTTCTTTGTTCCTGCGATAAATTACGTTCTTCGGATCGATCGTTTTTACCGCCGGTCTCTCGCGAGAATTGCAGCTCGCATTCGGTGAAAGGCGGCGGCTCAGCTGTTTGCAGGCATTTATCAAGCGCGCGGTTAAACGCGACGTTACAGAGAGCCGCGGAGATAATCGTAAGCGCTTACGTTACGTTGCTTGTGTTTCATAACCGCTCGCTTAGGATAGGAAAAGTGTGCCGTAACCCCGCGCTGTGAAAAGTGTGTCACGTACATGCAGACCGAGGTGTATATATACAATATATATATACATATAACGCTTACACACACGGAGATATGTACTCGCGCGCTTCGACAGCGCATACACTAAAATTGGAACGATATGGAAAAGATTAGCGTTCTGACCCCCTCTCCATTCCGATGACCCCTCTTCCCCCGGCTGCATGAGAATGACACGGGAAAGCTTGGCCCCGTGTCTTTAAATGAACAAGTGAAGAGAATAATTTGTTTTTGAATAATAATTTATAATAATAATTTATAATAATTTATAAAATAATTTTGAAATAATAAATTATTTTTGTTCTTAAAGATCGTGTTATAAAAAGAATTGAGAAAGGTATGAGTGTAACAAATAACAAAGTATTAACGAGAAGATGAAACGTGGAAATTTCGAAGACTTGAGAAAGGGATGCGGTGTCCGCGGAAGGGACGAGGAGAAATCCGGTTATAACCTGTGACCTATATGTAACCGTCACACGGCCGTCGTTTAACGGGAACGAAAGTGACGTCTTGACGACGTGGGGCTGCTCTCGCCTTCGGCCGGGCTGCGAGCTGACATTGGCTCCCGTCCAGCCTCTCTCAACGATGCTCCCAATAAACTGGCGATCGAAAGTAATCTCTTAGAGAAAAATTAAACATTTGATTTTTATAGTATCGAAATATTTTTCCCACGAAAAAGATAATTTCTTAGAACGAAAAGCTGTTTCTAATAATTTCGCGTTTTTATCTGATAAAAATTATAGAAATAAATATGAGGAAAAAAAAAATTTAAATAATAAGGAATCAAATTTTTTTCTGTATATTATATGGATATTAAACATGTATTAATATCGGTTGATTTCAGATTGATATATATTTTTTTTTTAGATTTATACTACAAACTATTTCTATAACATCATATCAGACTTTAAATAATAATATGAATTTTTCTCAATTTCCTCCACGCTTAAAAAATTACAAGCTTTTCAGAGAGACTGAAGTACTCTTGACAATTACACGTAATTACCGTCTTTTCGAGAAGGAGAATATATCCTTTCAGGACGACGCTTGGAAATAAGTCTCTTCAATCATAGATCGTACACTTTTCAAAGGGGCTTTCAGTATTATGATTATCGTCCGTTCGCTGCGGTATGTGTTATTATTCGTTTCCGGCTTTCAATGTGCATCGGCGCGATCGATCGGCGCTCCCCCTTTTCTTTATTTCGTTCGCGGGGCCCCGTGGTCGCGTGACAGACGTTATGTACTAACCACTTCCTGCGCGCTCACCTTTGCCACATTGCGTGCGTACAGCAGGGTAGGAAGGTTACGGGAAGCAAGAAATGGCGAAGCAATCTTGTCTTGATGATCATAACAATAAATATTGTAGAATAAATATATCTCTGTCTAGAAAGAATTATATATATATAATTATCTTATAAGCTATTAGAAGCTAGATATATATTTTATTATTTTTGTACTTTATTAATTTTTTTCATTAAACAATAAAGATAAAAAAGACTTTAATAAATAAAATAATAAAATAATTTCTTGTTATTGCAATTTACAGAAAAAAATATCTCTTAATAGTAGCGAGAAATGATAGGAAAAAAGGAACAACATTTTCCAGTGTGTTTTGAATGTTTTCTACTTTTGTAAGCTTCGAATTAAGTGGCTCCGTGTTTTTCCTTTGTATGAGTGAAAAATATTAGAAAACGCATACGATAAAAAAACTTACTTTAGAAAGTTGCAGCAAAAAAGATCTTTAAAATATTATCTTTACCTGGAATTTTGAACAAATAAAAACCTGGAATAATAGGAAATTTTTTTGCAAGGTTTGAATAGAGACACCCCGGAGAATAATCCTTTCGCTCTGTTGCGTGTTTCAGGGCCGTGAAAGCGTTCCAGCAGGTGCTATGGGTGGAACCAGGATTCCCGCGGGCCTGCGAGGTTCACCTACGGCTCGGCTTGATGCTGAAGGTCCACGCTGAGTTCGACGCCGCTTTGAAGCACCTGACCCTCGCCCTGATCGACGCCACCACACCTGCTTCCTTCTCCAAGCTCGAGAGTAAGTAGCAGGCTTGCCTTCTCGCATTGCGAAAAACCCGGGGGAAAACGCACTACTCTATTTAACATCGCGGCTCTTGTCAACAATCCCTCGGTTCGCTTGTTCACTTTCCTTCCTCCACGAACTTGACCGCTTTTTCACGATACTCGCATCGTTCTCGTCTTTCAGTTTTATCAGTTTGCAAGCTATCTCTAGCTATATACAAAATTTTTTTTTTACTTTTAACGTAGACAAAATTTTTCAATAGCTTTCGATATCATTCAGAATTAAGTAATAACATATTATTAATTATCCAAATATATCGTGAATGTTTCTTAATAATACATTAAATTAATGGCGATATAACGGACAAATAATGAGTTTTATATATTTCGTAACGTGAAATTACAAGCTCCGATGAGAAAGAAGTTTTAGAGTGACAGATGAATTAAAAAAATATCATTTTCAATTAATTTTAAACGATGGACTTTGTTTTAATAAATTATATTAAAACAATATTAATAATTGATAAGTCTTGAATATTAAAATTCAATGAATGATGATTTTGTTTCTTCAAGAAAAGATTGACTCCTGAAATTCGTCAAAAGATCCGTCATTGAGATTGAAATCGTGGGACTTCCCCTCTGTCGTATACGTCACATATACACGTGAAACCTAGATTTCCTAGGCATGGAAGCTTTTCGCGAAGATGAATCAGCAGAATGACTGCCGCTGATTCATGACTCCGAATTGCAGGCTCTCCGCGTAATGATTCAATGATTCGTCCAGGAGTCACTCTTCTCTCTCTCCCTCGGACACTGGGAATGTATAATATAATTCCCCGCCGGGAGTCGCGCTTTTTTAAATAGTCGGCCGCGCTTCGCTCACGCGCCAGTGCTCTTATCGCGTTTCGACGTTTATGACGGAAGAAGTTAATCGGAATCCACCCTAATCGCTCTTTCTCAACCTCACCCCTCAAATCTAGCCGATAAAATTTGCCTCCGACAAATATTGTATAATATTTCTTTTCGATTAGACTGTTGAAAAAACATATCATGGAACCTTGTTTCTTATCTGTGTGTCGCAGTAAAATTCCACATTGCTCACTTGTACGAGGTTCAGGGCAAGTATCGCTTAGCCAGAGAGCACTACGAGGTCCTGCTGAAGGAGAAGGTACTGCCGTCGCATCTCAAGGCCGATATCTGCCGTCAATTGGGTAAGTCCGTTGATCTGTCTGCTAATAACGATAAATAAGAGCATGCAAATAAATTTATTCCAAACTGAATTCTCTAGATGTAAAATAAAACTCTTAATTAAAAGGACTCTAATTGACAAAGATGAAAAAAAAACCAATTGGGAAGTTTATTTTTGAGCAACCTTAAATTCATTTTTCAAGGAGGTAGAGAGTACGCGTGTTATGAAGCTAGCTTTGTTGTGAATTACCTAACTTATATTCTTCAAGAATACATATTTGAGACGATTCTCGAAGATAATCATTCCCGATTTAATTGTCAAACGCGATGTAAACGATTATAATAAGCGAGATTCTATTTGCTGAAATAAGACACAAGTTTATTTTTTTATATTTTGTTTCATAAAACTTGAAAATTGTCGGTCGCTCGATATCTTCGTTAGGGAAAAAGAAAAGAAAGATTGTGTCTTGCTAGGATCCTGTATAAATATTCAAGACGCTAGAAAAAGGAAAGACGAGAGATATCGCGTTCGGAAATACTTAAAGGTTCCGACACATTCTAACTCTAGGGGAGTATGCAAATATTTCATATATAAATATTTAATACTTTGTAGAAAGAGAAAGAAATGTGAAACAAAAATATTACTTTTGGAAAATTCTGGTTGAAAGCCTATTTGACGTCTTGCTGTGTAGAAGAGAGAGAGAGAGAGAGGGGAGAGAGAGGGTGTGTTAAATATTTAACGCGCGATAAGTGTAAAAACAAAAAAAAAAAAAAGATAATTTTGTTCCGATAAATTTATCTAAAACTTTTTTGAATATAAATTCGACGGCGAGAATATCTTTAAATTTTCGATACGAGTTTGAAATCTCGGACAATTTACAAAAAGATAATTAAGTGTGCTTTTTTTAGAATTTTTGATTTAATATATATTTTTTTTGTATATAAATATGTGTTTAAAACAACACACATATTAAGTGGAAAAAGCGTACACGTTAATCTTTTAGAATTGAACGTCGATGTCACTGTAAGCAACTTTGTATTACTTTGGAAGGTTCCGACTTCACTCTAGCTCTAGGGGGATACTTTAGCGTACCCCGTCGCGATTCGGCGTCTACGCATAGTCTAAAACAGAAACGAAAGAGAGGGAGAGAAAGAGAGAGAGAGGGACATAGGGCAGGTGCGAGAGAAACGAAGACTGAGGATAGTTTTCCCACAACCATCGGAGTTGCTCTCTCTCTCTCCGTCCCATTCACGGCTGCCTCTCCTTCCCTCTCTGTTCCTCGTTCATTCACTCTCCCTCCCCCGGATCGCCTCTCCGTCTCATCCCCGGCCCACCCTAACCCGGAATAAATCAATACACGTGTCTGCAGACTACTTGGCAGAGTGCAGCCGGCACGCCAAGAGAACCGACCGAATTCGAGTGAGGCTGAAGGCGCGACGATCCGAGGGCAAAATCACCCTTTCGCTCGAGGCTCGTTGTGGGGGTGATATTTCTTCCTCCTTTTTATTTGTTCCGACAATAAAGATATCTAAAATGTCCTCTTCGTGCTCCTTTACAGATAAAGAGAATCCCGTCTAATGAGAGTTTTTCATGCCTTCGGACACTAAATTGCCATGACTGTCCCTTCAAACGGCGTCTCGAATGCGCTTTCCTATTTTTCTTCCCTTTGGAACGGATTGCTTCTCGGTGAAAGTCACACATCTCGCATCTCCCGGAGGGGTTGTGTCTTCTCGAGGACGTGATCGGGCGAGCGTTACGAACGGGACTTATTTTACGACCTGTTTATGGTTCCTCGCGTGGATTGTCCCGGTCGCGACTGACCGGTTCCGCTTCCCTTTTTTTTCGGAAGGGACATCGTCCTTCTATCCGTCCTTTTAGCGAGGAAAAAAAGACAAGTATCTTGTTGGCTGAATAATAAATTTCACGATACCACTATTAATTGCGATTGATGTGTGCGAAGAATTTCATATGATGAAACGGAAGATTTTTCTTAGTAAAACTAGAGTTACACACGGCATCGTAAAATCGAGATATTAGAATTCAGCATAATTTTCCAGATTCGAAGAATACAATATTTTCAGAAATTCGAAGAATCGGTAAAAGATTTCTCGGAAAAGATGGGATTTAAATCGACCGAGAAATTATCGGGGGCTTGTCCGGGGCCAGGTGAGCTCACAATGGTAAAGGTAGGCCCGGCAGATTTGCGAATTGGGCGCGTATGGGACTACGGCATTTACGAATGGGACAGGTACTCCAGGTGAATAAATAACATTAAGGACAGACGAGCGACCGACAATTATTAGTCTCGCGGATAAGAAAAAAATGGCGGGAATAATTCTGAGAGAATTCTGACAGTCAGTCAACAAACAGTCTTTCTGGCTTGAAATACAAATCTACTAAAAGGATTAATTTGACCAACTTTGCTGAAAAAATTTGATTGAGAGAAACTATCATACAACGATTCTCTCATTGTTCTGATATTTGTTATTGAGTCGATATATATATTAAGAGTATGCTTTTCTTAACTAATAAAGAAAAATAATTATTAAAATCATTGAATGTACGCATGGAAGCGTAATTAAGTTAACGTTGGCCAATTAATTAACCCGAGCGGTTTCCACGTGGCCACAGTTCCGCCACGTGTTCGCGCATTTATATATTTGTCGCGAAAAACAAGTTCTCGCGACGCGTCGCTTTTCCCACGACGATTAATCCGTGGGGTATCAACAGGTAAATACGCGCTGCGAAAGAAGCGGCTGCCATAAATCGACATCATTATACCGCGCGCAAACAAAAGATTATTTTTTTTATTATAATGTATTATATTATATCACGTACATAATATTACACGTACATTTATAATATTATAATATATTGTATATATAAAGTTTTAAAAGAAAAGAAAGTTTCGAATTCAATACTAATTGAATTTTTACTTTTTCGACTATTCTGAATTAAATTCTTTAAGTTAATTCTTTAAAGAAATATTTTATTCCTTCAGTTACACCCTGATAATATATGATACCGAGTCGTATAATATGTCAAACAAAATCGTTGAAAATTATCCAAGTTAGAAGATGAAATATCTCTACAAAGTGAGAAAAAATTTGAAACTTCTTCGCTTTCTTTGAAGAAATTATTTAATTTGAAAGAGTGAAAAGGATTAGCAGTAAAATTAAGATATCTTATTAATTTCTCCTGAAAAAAATTCGCATCGAATGCAGTCTGTAAATTTAATTTATCGTAAAAATGATTAAAAAAAAAATCATCCACTTTCGACGAGAAGATGAAACACTCGTGTTGCGCACAGTAGTCGTTTTTTCGCTCTTCTACGCCTATGTTTATAGAGGGGTAATACGAGACAGTCCCCCTAGAGAAGGGACAGCAGCGTGACTGCCAGAGCTATCCCTAGGCTGTACCTGCGAAAATCTATTCAGTATAGCTCACTAGTTCGTCGTCTAGCATCGAGGTTACACCTCGTGCGGTTCTAGAAGGAAAGCAGAAGCGCGCGTGTTCGATGAAACACATTGTCGCTTACAGGATGGATGTACCACGTGGTTGACTGTACGGTGCTTGGTATAACCAGACAGCAGAAGCAGGCTGTAGCTATCCATTGTCTCCAGAAGTCCATCGAGGCTGAACCTAAGAGTGGACAGAGCCTTTATCTTCTGGGTCGTTGCCTGGCTGCCTCCGGAAAGGTCCACGATGCGTTTATCGCATACAGGTAATATGCAAAAATAAATAAATAAGAAAAGTGATCAAGTAATTCGAAAAAATTTGAGATACATTAGTTGCGAAATTTATTTTACGCAAATTTTTTTATATTCTTTAATTATATTTTTGGATTATGTTTTGTGAGGGGTGTAAATAATTTAAATAAATGATATTTTTACATATTAAATTACTTATATTATTATTTTAATATGTGTAAATATATAATTAATTTAATATAATATAAAAATAATATAATATAAAAATTAAAAAATATTTTATATATATCATTTGAAATCTCTCATATTTTTTATGATTATTATTTTATAAATTGACGTTTTATATAAAAAATATATGTAACCAATGATTAGAATTTGTTTTTAGTTTTAATACGCTTTCTCCTGGACTTTTTCAAATAGAGTCTAGAATATTTGCTTTTTTTCTCAATTTGAAAATTGATATTGTTCTCGGCAGAAATTCCGTCGAAAAATCGGAAGGCAATGCGGACACATGGTGCAGCATAGGCGTTCTGTACCAGCAGCAAAATCAGCCTATGGATGCACTGCAAGCCTACATATGCGCTGTGCAGCTAGACAAAACCCATTCGGCCGCTTGGACTAATCTGGGGATATTGTACGAAAGCGTTAGCCAACCGAAAGACGCTCTGGCTTGTTACGTCAACGCATCCAGGTAAATTGCACGTTACACACGCCAATGCAACGCGAATCGCACTATATTTAATATAAGAGCGTTTATCAAACGAGCCATTTAATTGTTATATATATATAAAGTCATCTCAATTCTGTTTTTCAACGCTGATAAGAAATTGCTATCATCTGGTTAAATAATTAAACTATTAATGATTTTTAGAACTAAATATATAATTTCTAATCAAGTATTAGATTTTTCTCGTCGTATCTAGCCTTCAATTATTACTATATATCATTTTTATTCCACGCTCTATCTCTCTGAATAAACTTATTACATCTCGATTAGTCATGTTATTTACTCATCGTGTTTTACCATGTGTGCATTTTTACGCTTTATAGTAATCGCGTATTTCTAGCGCGTGAACAAGATCGGCACGCGGCGTAAGTTGAAGGCTAGATTTATGTTCCGCGACGATCTGAAAAATTCACGTCGACGGACGATTGGGTTATTAGGTCAATTTGAGATAAGAGTTGTCCTTCTGGTTTTACAGGGGAAACAGCAACGCAGCGAATTGCACGGGCCCATTGATGGGCCTGGGTGGCGTCAAGTCCGGTGGCAACAACCCGATGAACCCGTCCCTCCAACAGCGCATCAATTTTCTGCAGAGTCACCTAAGTCAAGCACCACCAATGCCTTCTGTCGCTACCAAGTGAGTCGAGAAATCAATTTGTATTACAATGTTATTATGCGATTCCGATTACACGCAATCATATTAATCCTTCAATGCACATTCCATTTATAATAATCCTCGAACATTCGAACAAATGAAACATTATAGACGATAAATTTTATTTCTCGAATTTCATTTTTTTTTTTTTTATTTTTATGATTTTATTTTTCGAATCTTTATAAAATCTTTAAAATAATAAAACAATTGATTATACAATATTAACGTAACATTGCAATACAAAATGTGTAATGTCGAAATTAATTGGGACCACAAAAGACATAAAAATTCCATTTCGGATATCATATTTTGTAAAAGCCATTAAAACTCTCTAAAAATGTATCTTTGCGAAGAAAAAAATATCTCATCCAGACTATAAATATAATAAAACGAAGAACGAAGAAAAATATATATAAAATTACTTGTTTACATCGATTCTTTATATATATAAATAGAGTCTCTTGTAATATACTTCAATGTCTTTCTTTTCTTTCAACGATATAAAAGGCCAAAAATAATATGGTAAATATGATAAATGGCTTAAATATACAAAATGGCATTGCATTAAATTTCCCTATATTCGATCAAAATGAAAGTAATTTTCTCATTTTCTGAGAAACATAAGAAACAGAGTCTTTTTAATGTAAAATTTTTTATCGGAGATTATGAATGTTATTAATATAAAAATGACATTTTATAAATATCATGCTTAGAAAAACACGTTCTGTGTGTTAGAGAGAAAAACACTTGAAACACTCGCTTCACAACAATAATAGGAAAAAGATGGTCGTGCAAGCAACATGATTATTCCGTTTCGCAAACAAGAAATCGTGTCGAGGATCTAACGATTATTGCAATAATAAAATTCACCGAACTATTTAAAACATTGCATCTGTCAAAATATCACAGTCGATACCGAAAAGGTTTATCATTATCATATATTTTTACGCTACATTTTCTGTACTTGCATCTCGTCCGACTTTACCTTCAAACATATTTTTAAATTTTAGAAAAAACTTTAATTAAAAGTTTTGATGCACTTATACTTTTTGCAGTTATCGAGCTTTTATCATATTTTTTATTTTTATTTACAGGAAACGGCATTTGCCGTCGATCGAAGATGCTTGGAATCTGCCGATCAGCGCAGAGATCACCAGCCGGCAGCAGCAGCAACAGCAACAGCAGCAACCCGGCGGACCTTCGTACAAGTACGGCACGACACCTACTGGTCCGCCGCCGCCTTATCCTCAAGCTCAAGGACAGAACCCCAAGCGATTTAAGGTAGAGATTTTGTGTGTGTGACTTATTTTAGAATATAATCTAACAGTTTAAATTGTCTTATCAGTATAGAAAATCTTGAAATTATTTGTAAGGGTATTTTAATAATTAAAAATGAAGATCTGTATACAGAGATAATGTATAAGGTTGACGTATTAAGTATCTTATGCTTGTATCAATTGACAAGTTAAATTTTTCTTTCGTCAACAGACCGACGAAGTGATATCGGCTGCGCCGCAGCAACGGCCGCCGCCATATTACCTATCGTCGCAGCAGCTCCAAATGCTGCAGTTTCTGCAGCAAAATCATGGCAGTCTGACACAGCAGCAACAGGCCTTGCTCGTCCAACTGCAACAACAGTACCGTGCGATGCAACAACATCAACAGCACATCAGCAGGCTGCAACAGCAGCAAGCAGCGCAGCGGGGTCTAAGGCCAGGACAGCCCGGTCATCCCACGGCCTATGGCGGTCACCCTCAGAATCTTGGGCAGACGTCGGGCGTCATCAAGAACTATGGCATACCGCAACAACCGGTAAATATTGGATATTTCATTTTTCGAAGACTTGAATCGCTAATCTATCTTTTTTGCATGGCGAAGAGAAAGTCTTAGACTCCGCAGAAACTTTTGTCATGAAAAGTTTTTATTTTTTTCATTTTTTATGTAAATGCATGTCATGTTAAAGCTAATTTACGGAGTCATGTAATTTCGATCGGCGTTCAGTTGCAGCAGGGAGGTACGGTGGCGCTGCAGACAGGTTTTTCTGATACCAATGCCGGTTATAACACAGCGGCGACCGGAAACACTACACAGTCACCAGGCATGCCTTACAAATCCGCCTCCGATCCAAATTACCCGCCTCAGAGGCAGCAAATTGCAGGCGGCGCTCAGTACGGCGGTCAGTACCAGCAGCAGCCGAATCAGTACGCTGCTCAGGGTTATACGCAAGTCTCGTCGGCGACCGGCGGCTACCCGGAGAACTCCGCTACGGTCATGGCAAATAAAGATAATTTGGACATGACGGATCAGGAATTGCAGGCGCTGCTATCACAGAAGGATATTGCAACGTCGCTGGCGGAAGATCTTCTTAAGCACTTTGGCTCCGACGGCCTGGATACCGTCGTGAAGGAGGAGCCGTTGAGTGGCGGTGTAATAAATGACAACGGTACATTGAGTTCTGGTCCGTTCTCGCCATCGAATCTCGAGGAGAATGCGGCGGACAAGGCGAAGGAGGTAAAGCTCGAAAAGCCAGAAGAAGCTTCTTCCCAGCGTTCGACGCAGCCGAAATCGACGGTGGAGGCTGTGACGACGACGCCCGTGGCGACAGCTGCGATGACAACAACTGTGACGACGGTGAAGTGCGAGACGACGGCGACAACGACGGTGAAGAGCGAGACAACGACATCGTCGTTATCTTCAAGCGCAATGACGATGTCGACGACGACAGCGGTGACAAACAAGAGCGAAGCTGCTGCCAATATTTCCAAGACAGAACCGACGATGATGAATTTGAAGCTTGAATCGTTGTGCGAATCACAGCCGGAGCAAGAGCTTAGCATCGAAATGGATGCGAGAACGGTGATCGAGACGTGCAAGGGTCAAGGGCTGAACGGCGTGCCGAATTGCTCGATACTGAGCGATCGTTCACCGCCGCCAGCACCACCGGATCCGCCCAGTCAACGATTGACGAAGGAACAATTGTTGCCATCTACACCGAGCATCTTTCTGGAGCACAAGAAGGACGCGTTTGGTCCGAATCTACAAGAATTCTGTCTGAAGCATCCGATTGCTGTGATACGCGGCCTCTCGGCTGCGCTCAAGCTCGATTTGGGACTATTCTCTACCAAAACCTTGGTCGAGGCAAATCCGGATCACGGTATCGAGGTGCGCACGCAAATGCAGCAGACCAGCGAGGAAAACTGGGACCCAGCGCTCAACAAGAAAGTCTGGAATTGCATCAGCCATCGTAGCCATACGACGATTGCCAAATACGCGCAGTACCAGGCCTCGAGCTTTCAGGAGAGCCTGAGGGAGGAGAAAGTACAGGGCGGCGGCATACACGTTTCCAATTTGTCAGACTCGGACTCAAAGGACAGCACTGGTCAAACTGTCAGACGTAAGAAGAACACTTTTGGCTTGGCCGGTCGACCAGGAACTAAGATGCTGCGTTTTGGTACCAATGTGGATCTGTCGGATGAAAGAAAGTGGAAACCGCAATTGCACGAGCTCATGAAGCTGCCAGCTTTCGCCAGGGTGGTATCGGCTGGTAATATGCTTAGCCATGTCGGCCACGTGATCTTAGGGATGAACACCGTGCAGTTATATATGAAGGTATAATTAAAAGAATTTAATAAAAAAAATTAATTTTTTTTAACTAAAAAAGACGTATCATACAGATGTGAGGGGAGGCAATTAAGAGCCATTGCGGTAATTTGTGCACAAATTTTATTATAATCAAATTATATTAACATAAAGTAGCGATAGATTTAATAATTAAAAGCGTACGTTACGGCCTTTTTTTGACTATCTTCAGCGCAATTACAAAGTAAATAAAGAACAGAAATCGAGCTGTTCAAACGTGATATCAATGAACACCTCGGTTGTTGTTCTTTATTTGTAATTATTTTGTAACTGCGTTGAAGATGGTCAAAAAAGGACCGCTTTTTATTATTAAGTCTATCGCTACTTTATATTAATATAATTTGATTATAATACAATTTGCGCACAAATTATCACGCTGACTCTTAATTGCCTTCCTTCACCTTTGTATGATACATTCATAAGAGCCTTTATTGTTCCATTTTAATGTAAAATAAAAAAAAAAAAGTTAAGTATATATTTTCTACATAGCGTTTGAAGAGTGTTTCAAATATATAAATAAAGCGTTCAGAAGAAGAACGCATCAAGTCACTTTGTGCCAATTTTACAATAGACCATTTTTAATTTTATTTTAGTAACGTAATATGTATTTTTATAAAAAATCAAAAATTTCCCTGTGTTTCGAATATATAAATGAAGCGTCCAGGAGAAAAACGCATCAAGTCACTTTGTGCCAATTTTACAATAGACCATTTTTAATTTTATTTTAGTAACGTAATATGTATTTTTATAAAAAATCAAAAATTTCCTTGTATTGGTGTGACTAAACACGTTTTGTATGCACATTCTTTCACCGCTTTTTCCTTCGACCTAAGCAGATTTTTTAAAATTTTTATGATAAGATAATTTAAAACTATTTCATCAGAGCTACAACATCGCAGAGTTATCTCGAAAAGACGAAAAATGGAAAATTGGTACGTTCTTTCTTTAGACTCTTCAAATGTGATTAACTTTTGTATGATTGTTTTCAGGTACCAGGTAGTAGAACTCCCGGCCACCAAGAGAACAATAATTTTTGTTCGATCAACATCAATATCGGACCAGGCGATTGCGAGTGGTTTGCAGTACCGGACGCATACTGGGGCATGGTATCCTCGCTTTGCGAGCGCAACGGCATCAGTTACTTGCACGGCAGCTGGTGGCCGAATCTGGACGACCTATACGAGGAAAACATCCCGGTCTATAGGTTCCATCAACGACCGGGCGATCTCGTGTGGGTGAACGCCGGCTGTGTACACTGGGTGCAGGCAGTCGGCTGGTGCAACAACATCGCGTGGAACGTTGGGCCGCTTACTGCTAGGCAATATCAGCTAGCGATCGAGCGTTACGAATGGAATAAATTGCAGGCGTTTAAATCGATTGTGCCGATGGTGCACCTCTCGTGGAACCTGGCGCGCAACATCAAGGTATCGGATCCGCGGTTATTCGAGCTAATCAAGAACTGTTTGCTGCGGACGATACGACAGTGTTGCTTGATACTGGAATTTGTTAAGAATAAGGGGGTGGAAGTACGCTTCCACGGCCGCGGCAAGAACGAGGCTTCGCATTATTGCGGCCAATGCGAGGTGCGTTTTTTTTTCTCACACGTTTTCAGTAAAACAATTTTCGTGGAAATGTAACACAATCATAGAAGATTAATATATAGAACTCTGAACATTTTTCATTTAGAACATATTTCATTTTATTATCTTCCATTCTTTTATATTTAATATATCATTTTGTCTTTTACAGATTGAGGTGTTCAATATTCTATTTATCCGCGAGCAAGAAAAACGTCACGTAGTGCATTGTATGGATTGCGCGCGTAAACAGTCTCCTTCGTTGGAGGGCTTCGTCTGCCTGGAAGAATACCGTATGCGCGACTTGATGGACGTTTACGACGGATTCACTCTACATATGCCGCAGGTTAACGCTACCACCTCCGCCACGACCTCCTCATCATCGTCACCTTTGTTGTCGTCGGCGGCGGGGGCGGCATTGTCGACCATGTTACAGGCACACATCAGCCAGTCCTCCTGAGGTTACATGCAACACAGATATTTAGATTTTCTCAGCACGCTGCAACAGTAGTGATCACCACCATCCGGGAAATGCGAATTCTACCCGGATGGTTACTACTGTTAGCGTTATTCCTTGCGGTAATAAGAGGACATTCTTGCGATAAGCATTATTTTCAGTGTACCTGAGAGCTACTCGAAACTAACCGGGACCGGCTCCTTGAAAGCTCTTCATAGGCAATCGTCCATGAATGTTCCAAGAATGGGAAAGACAGAGCGTGATACTAATTTCTCTCGTGGTATCGATTTTAGAAAAAGACAATGATTTTAAGTAAAAATCATTGAAAAAAACGTTATTATAGACAGTCTCTTAAAAAAAAAAAAAAAACAAAAAAAAACAAAAAAAAAATTTTTTATCGACGTTATTTGAGATATAACAGGCGTCATGCTTTGCCTCATTATATTGAATGTATATTTTTATCTCAATTTGTGTACAACATGACTTTTAGGCGCACTTTGTGATGGTGAGTTTTGCGCGAGCCGATCCTGGGGAAAAAAGAGAAGGAGAGAAGGGTCCTCGAGGCAATCGCGGAGATCGATTTGTGCCACTCGCTCATTAATTAGCGCTGTTTGTACAAATCTAGTTGGCTTATATCCTTAAAAAAAGAGAAAAAGACGAATCGCTGCCGATGGCGCCCAGTTTATTCCCTGTAAATATGCGAAGGCGATCACACGATTTTTTTCTTTATATAGCTCTCGGGTATTGACTTGTTCCCGACTGTCAAAGGATGTTAAATAGCGTAATAATCGGCCCGCGGCATAGTCATGCGATCATTTCTATTTCGATATGCTGGACGTTTTCTTTCACCGAATTCGATCAAACTCTCCTTATCGTCGTTATCATCGTATAATTAATTATCATCGGCGTAATAGCGATCGAGAATATGATGAATTGCGTGAACAGCGGACGTAGAATTTAATTTCCGAGTCGTTTCTTTTCATTCTTTATTCTTTTTGGAATCAGTTGACTTATAAGACTTTGCGATAACGCGATTCACTGCCACTTACGAAGATACTGAGATAAAAAGAGAGATTAGCCGTCTATTAAATGTATTATACGTGTAAGGGAATGTGAACGATCGCCTTTCGTTAATTGATCGTTGTTAAGGAAATATACGTATGAAGGCAAACTACTGCCACTACGTGGAACTGCTCAAATTATTTGTACATTTTTGTATACAAATCGACATCGAGAGTAAAAAGGAAAAAAAAAACGAAGAAAATTAGCAAGTGTCGTTAGAGCGTAGGATGATTTCTACTGCCAACTACACGTTATCTCCCAATTGAGATGAGAAAGTTTTTGATTTCTCGTCGCATAAAATTTAATCTTTCCTGCACAAGCATGGCACTTTAGATCTCGGAAGATTCGAGGATTGTCGGTTGATTGTCGTTGGTCAAAGTTAATAAACGGAGAGACGAAAGAAATTAGGAACACAGATAATCTGACAAAATAAAGCAAAATGGTGGAATCTGAGGCTCCATGCGTGTGCTTGAGGATTGAACGCGTTGTAAAATTTTCAAATTTTGTCACATTGTTCTCGCTTAATGACTTTAGCTAGTTTTTGTAGATGCAAAATGTAAAATTTTTGTCTCCCAAATTTTATTCCCGTGATGAGGGATTTAAATGCGCGAGTATTTAACAGAATCCTCGAGATTTAACGAAACCAAAAAAGGGGAAAAAAATATATGCGCGCAAGACGGTGATAAGATTTTTCGCGAAGAGAGAGAGAGAGAGATACGCTAGCAGGAGGGAAAGATAGAGCTTCTGTTCATCAGGTTATAACTTTAAGAGAACAAACGTACCTTTTCACTCACAGTCTCGTCAATTGATCACGGCGTTCACAGCCGATACAACGTGCCAGACCGCCATCATGTATATTAACGTTCGATTCAGAGGAATTTAAAGACTAAGAGCGGCTATCTATTTTATTCGTCGTCAAACGTCCAACACGCGCGTAAACAGATCGAATCGAACAACGGAAACGTCTTCAGGTTCTCTTCACTGTTTAATCACACTTTATAGCTACGCAAAAGGGGGCAAAAAATTGCGCGCGAATCTTCGTTAACGTCAAATAATTTTTTGCGTTGAGGAGCGCGAGAAGAAGATGCAACCAGTGTTCGCTTAATTTGAGAGGCAGTGAAGAGGACGACGCGACGGATGGATTCGCTTTTAACCTTCAACTTCTCGATCCCCGGGTCCCGGCAAATTACGCGGAAGGGGGTGGGGGGGAGGGGGCAGAAATAAGAAAAAGTAGTTAGCTGTTTGCTCCACGAGAGAAGATCATCCGCGAGAGGGGCGATGTATTTTTGAATATCTAGAAGCGCCTAGTTCCACCGAGCGAGTAGTTTCGAGAGAAAACAACTTCTCTTCTTATTTTCTAGGCAGGATGTACATGTGCCTCGACATTCGCTAAATTGACATATCAATGCCTCGTTTCATGTATCAACGATCTTTATTATTATTTTTTTTTTTAAAGAATAAGCGAGCTGACCAGTCGTTTCCTCGCCGCTGTTCGAGTTCCCGAATTGAGATGTCTGAGGGGAATTCCATGATCTAGCGAATGTTAGGGCATTTGTACCTGTGCAACTTAGTGTGCGTCCAGGACGATCATACGCGACGCTTTCGGACAAAGTGTGTAGAGAGAAGAGGGGGAGATAAAATATATAATATACGAGACAGGGTCTCCGCGATAGAACACAGAGGGAGGGAGGAGGGATGGTAAACAATTTTGTTTTTCATATTTTAGATCAAGCACGTTATATGATCTCAACTTTGCACGATGCCGGCGGAAGAGGAAAGTGTGTGATCCATATATATATATATATACATACACACATACACACACACACATACACATATGTATATGTATATATTTCGTACTATATTATCCCGCCGGCAGCCGCAAGTTCTGAACTGAGTCGACATCCTTTGATTAATTGCTAATTCGTAAATTATACATGTATAGAGTAAATCACTAAAATTGTTAGAGATTAATATTTCTGAAATTGAACGAGATATGAAATCCTTATTTTCCAACGACTGTTTGGTATCGAAGCGGTCATTGTGTAATGAAGTTAATTTTTTTTTAAGCGATGTCATTAAAGTCATTTTAAAGACACTTTGATTTTTTTTTAACTGACGACATGTACTTTTTATTATGTGCAATTGTAGCCCATCTCTTGAGTAAAATGACCACACACAGTCAACATCATACCAAGGTTATAATGAAAAAACAATGTGAAATGGTAAAAATTGTTCAGTTTTATTGCGAACATTTTTTAAAATAACTGCTCGAAATTACTGCCATTTGCCATTTCTACGTCGAATGCCCGCTTTGATACTAAACAGTCGCTGAGAAATAAGAAATCATATCTTGTTTAGTTTCAGAAATATTAACCTGTAATACTTTTAGTGATTCACTCTGTATATATATATATATATATATGTGTGTGTGTGTGTGTGTGTGTGTGTGTGTGTGTGTGTGTATGTAGATACATACACATATACATATTATAAATATATAAATATATGAATATAAATAGATATATTTAATGTAAAGAATAAGAATATTAGGCGAATTCACAAGAATATAGAAAACTCCTTCGCGAGCTTCTTCGTACTTGAAGAAAAACGAGATCGCTCGTTTGTCGCGTGTTTGTTCGATATTTTCGTAAATTGACACGATGGATCAAGAGCCCTTCAATCGCGTTTTTAATAAACGCTTCCCTTCATCGATTTTGATTTTTTCGTCGGTAAATAAGATTCGCAAGAAAGGATAATCGGATGCATAGAAACGAGTCTGAGCGTTCTCAATAAACTTAAAGATAAAGACCATTATTAATCTTTCATAAACTATAATGTAATCTGAAAGTGAAAAATTTGAGAAAAGCAAGAAATTTCTTCTTTTTTCTGACAAAATGATTTTGTCCATAAAGGACTAACTAAATCATGGTTCATGAGAGGATAGAGAAGAATGCGTAAAAACATATTTTCGCTATAAACTGTGCTACTACCACTACTACTATTACTACTACTATTATTACTATTACTATTACTATTACTATCGATAATTTAAGTTGTACACCCTAAAAAAACCGAGATGAAAAAGAACCGTGCAGACCAGACGAGAATTTATTTTTGATATATATACACACACACAAATACACACACACACACACACACAGACACACATGCACACACATATGTATATATATGGATAAACCTGTATAAAGAGCGTAGCGTTATTAGCATATATATAGAGCGAGCGATTAATATAGCTAGCAATCGTATCGGTATATATGTGTATAGATTTTGAAAAAGAATGGCTGAAACATTACTACTATTACGTCGCTATGTAAGTTATGTGTATTTCTTAACGACAGAACAACAACAACAAAGTGAAAACGTTCACTGCCAAATTGTGATAAGCGTGAGAAATCCCACCTTCAAGCCAGGAGCGTTTTCTTGACTTCTGATCGCATTGACCAATCGTTTCCCCTCTTCCCCCATAATATTCATGATCCCCCTTTTCCCCCTTTTCCCTGTAATAATAATAAATAGTTACCGCGCATCCAATCCGATCATAGTCATCTATTTTTCTTTAAATGAAGCTAGATAATAATTTAGATAAAGAGAGGAGAGAAGAAGTTAGTCTCGACCAATGCAGCTAGAAACGAAGGAAAATCGCTCCCCTATTTTAAGGGCCATAATTTAAATGGCCGTATTTTAAACGACAAATATTGTAGAACGAAGCGATATTTTTCAACGGGGCACGTTTTACCGTCGAGAAAAAAAAAGATAGAGAAGAGAGAGAAAGAGAGGCGTGAAAAGATGAAAAGGAGGAAAAATCATCTGGACCGCCTTTTTAGCGCTCTTCTAATTGTATGTTCATTACGTGTACAGTGCCTTTGTATCTTAAAAGAGACAAGTCCCCCCTTTGTCCCTCGTAAGAAGCGATCGATTCTCGCGCAGGCAAAATTTTCCGAGCACCCCTCTTTCAATGAGAAAATTATCTTTATTAACCTATCCGAAGAGGAACGTAATTAATAATATAAGTAATTTCGATCGATTGTTTTTATTTGTTATAGCTTTTGCTAGATCAATGAAACATTTCTTAAAATTCTATAATATAGATTAGACGGAATGTTATCTTGAATATTGTAATTATAATTAATAATTATAATTAATAATTTTATTGATTTTGAATTTGAATTTTATTAATTTATTAAAAATTATAATTATAATAATTTTATAAATAATATTGTTAAGTATTTATAAAAATGCTGAAAATATTTTTTGTATTACATTTTTTTATTATCCCGTAAAGAGGAAGACGGGATTGGCCGTCCGAATGAGGATGGGTTAAGAAGACATAAATTTTTCTCCTTAACAGCAGCATAAAAAAATTAACGATGTAATTGAAACTTCTGTTTCCCCTCGGAATCGAAATTCTTCCTCGGAGGGTGTGAAATTTTGCCGATGATAAAGAGACGCATGTATGAGAGAAAAGGGGGGCGCGCGCGGTCCTTCCTACGTGTCGTGACGTTCTTCTGACTAGGTTCGTAATTGTAATGAATTGTCTAATGATTAATATGTAAAATTAGATTAATTATTCACGAGTATGTTGTAAAAGTCGTGTACAGTCGAATCGATTGATTCGAAATCGATTCGAAAGAAAAAGAAAGAGAGAGAGAGTGAGCGGTGGCCCCTCGTGATCGCGCGACGGCGTCTCATGGCCACCTCCCCCCCTGTGTAGTTAGCCTTATTATAATTATCATTATTGCCATTATTATCATGGATTATTATTACAATTATAAATATTGATTATAAATATTGTGTTTACCGTAATAATGTAATATACGAGGTTACATGGAGAGCTTTCCCTCCCGATGTGTTGTGCATTTTTCCAATCATAATAATAATTCCTTTCATCGTTACAGAGCGGAGTGAGTGATGCTGCTGTCATTCTGTGATAAAAGCGATCGGCACACAGTTTATCAATTATAATTATTATCGTGATTATATTATTGATTTCTTCATTTTAGAAATAGCGATTGGTTGAAATCATTTTGCTGTGTAACAAGCAGAACTTTGAATTAAAGCCGTAAAAAGGCGTGTAACTCGTCTTTATATAAGATGGATTATTTATTGTAAGTGTGCTATATACATTCAACAGCTTGTGGCAAAATGACACGGAAATGAAATTGGACGAAAAATATCCTTTCTCATGATCTGAATATCCAGATACTTGTCTCGTTAGATCGCTGCAAAAGAAGTGGTTTCGTTTCTTTCGATCTCTCTCAGTATTATCCTATCATTGAAATTACAGTTAAAGTTTTTTTTTTGTTAAAATATATTTTTCTAGACGGAATATAAAATGTATAACGGCCTCTCTCTCATTATTGGAGATTCGAAGCTACATTCTCGATTTCTATTCGGCGAGCAAAGACAGACCTTTTGCACCCATCTAACAGCGCGTCGGCGAAACTATTCGCGGGTAATTGTCGATCTACGTTCTTCGCAACGCTTGTTTTTTGATTTGCTTGCGACGCGCCTGAACCACCCCGTAGACGACCGCGGCGAGGCTGCGACAGGTGCTCCTGTGCCTGGGAGTGCCCTCCTGCTGCAGAGTTGCTTTACCCAGCACAAAGTACGTCTCCATCGTGCCCTTCCCTTTCACCTCGATTAGCCCGCGTTTCTGCGTCTGGTAACCCCTCGACTCCAAAAACTACGCGTAGATACGATGGATTAATACATGATTTATTAATTAATAATCTATGTCAATTCCTAATCGCCATTTTAGATGGTAAATCTTTGTTATTACCCTAGCGATGTCGTGCGGGACTTGGATCTTTCCCATCACACCGGTGGAGTCCATCCTTGAAGCCTCGTTGACGGTGTTGCCCCATATGTCGAAGACGGGTTTGCGGGCCCCGATCACGCCACCCACAAGGGGCCCGCAACTGATGCCGACTCGCAGGTCAAAGTTGTTAAACGAGTGAACGTTCACATCCTCAAGACGGTGACGCATAGCGACCGCGTAGTCCACCAGTCTGCACAAGTGTTCCATGTCGTCGCCGCAATTATCCTGTCATGTTTATTCGAATTTTAATCCTTTGCAAACTCGACTTTCTTTTCAGAGGAAATTAAACTCTTTGAAACTAGGCTCAATCCTAAAACGCATGCTGTTCTAATAAAAATTTAGTAAAAAAAATAATTCTGATAAATATAAATTGAGTCAAATAATTTATACAAGACAGGATTTATTTTGAAAAATCGTCTAGAAGGAGAAGAGGAGATTTGAGATTAAAGAATTGATAAAAAAATAAGATCCTTTTTTTGTACATCCTAAAATTGAAGACAATATTTCCAATTGTCATTGTATTGTCGCATCGTGTATTATATTTGATATTATTACAGTTTGACTGGGGTTTAATCCCGATGCGGCCATATATGTGGCGCCGACCGTCTTTATCTTCTCGATACAGTGAAACGCCGTCTCGTCCAGCAGCTCGTCAAAATCAGCTGCGTGTTAAATAAATTACATGTCGATTACTATGAAAAAAAATTAAATTTGATACATTGCGCTTTGTAAAATGGCCTGATTTTATGAAATGTAATCGCCGTACCAATGATCTCGTTAAGCAAGCGAATACACTCCATTCCTTTGTTGACATCCTCCGAGTAGAATTCCGTAAAGTTCGGCACGCTGGCGAACATCACACCGACCTTGTCCCGCGATTGTGAGTAGAGTTCCTTTGATTAATAAAATTGACGTTAATAGCAGAGCTTATTCTGTTGTATTTGCCTGTACGGGGTGTCTAAAAAAATCTCCGGTTATTCTTTTAATAACAGATTCTGATCAATTTGGAGACGAATGATTAGAAAATCTGTTAGATGCGGGTCTTACTTCCGGCGCGCGATCCGCTGTAAGGAAGTGATGTGCCACGTGATCCGGCAAAATGTTCTTCAGGAGTTGCATATTGTTGTGTCGCGACTCGATCATGTCGCTCAGCTCTCTCTCGGCTTGCTGCTTCCACAGGAAGTCGAGACGTGATGTCACTTCCACCAGTCTACCGTGGTACGTGACCATCACGAGGAAAACTGTCAGGAAGGTCAGCATCTGCGCCGGTAGGGATATTGCCGATCTAGAAGAGAGATTAAAATTATTGGCGAAGTGCGTGTTTTATAAACGTCGTGTCAACAAGTTGTATTATTATTATTATTGAATTTAATTTGAGGAATAAATTTCGTTGATTATATGCCGAGAGGCTTACACGTATCTCTCTCCCTCGGTGAACATGCCTTTGCACACGATGAGGATCAGCACCGCGTACACCAAAACGATTGCTGCGGCCAGTGCCGTTTTCACCAGGTAGTACAGCTTCAGGGCCGAGGCGAGCGCGATCAGGCACAGGATCCAAGTGAACACCATGTACTCTGGTCGGATGCAACTGGTCTCTTCGAGCACGTCGAGATTCTTGAGGGTTAACGGGTGAGTTTGATTCTCGTCGTCGGCGACGGAGAGGATCTTTCTCTGGATTTCGCGTTTGCGTGCAACTCGTCTGTAATGTCGGCTTCCGGCTTCCGGCTTCTCGTAATGCTGTTCGTATCTGCGGTAACATCGACAAAACCAAATATCGCAACGTTACAAGAAAAGTCATATAATTTTGAAACATCCGAATTCTCGGAACCCTGTCAGTTTAACGTCTATAGATAAATCGGCTCTAGTCGTTGCCACAAAACCGACCTGTAAAACCGGAAGAACTCTTTCCTGCTTTTTCCGGTCTCTCTGCCGTTCACCACCTGCGTCAGTTTCAATTCGATATTGCTGGAGCCCCCTTCCAGGGTATTATTCTCGGTCGAAGGGGCGGTCTTTTGTTCCTCGGCGGGTTCGTCGCTTAGAGCGGCCTCCAGAAACGTCAGTATGAAGTGGTCCCGGACCGATTTCGAGGTGGTCGCGGTCAGCTTCTCTGGCGATGGAAACGGATTTGCCGAGGTCGTTGTCAGAGGTGTTTGTTGCTTAAGCACCATCACTTCGAGATAAGAGCGCACCGTGATGGGACATGTTAGGACGCCGATGATGGACGTCAACGCCATCAGACTGATGACGCCGCAGATAAAGATGGTACGATGCTTCTTGTTGTGCACCAGCATGGACGATGTATGCTGTAGGTACGTCGGCATGCCTTTGAACTCCTCCGCCATCACCAGGATCGACGACGCTATCAGGATCACGGTGGTTACCAGCAGAGAGATCAGAAGAATCATACAGCTACGACAATCGAGATGAAGCAAAATGAAGAGTTGCATTTTAATATTATTATAATATACATTGTAAGTTATTTTCTTATTATATAAGTTTTATTTTATTTCTCTTTTATGTCGAAAGAGAAATTTGAATTTGCCTTTAAATTCAGCTTTATTTACTCACTCGGACAAGATTATAGCTTGGCAGACGGCGATGAAGAGCCATATAACGAAGCAACATATCATGTTGGACTTGAACATATCCTCTCGCAATTGATCAAACTGCGACATAAATAATTAATTGGAACATAGCTTGTATAATGTTTCTTTTTATTAACTCGGGCATATTTTTAGTATATTATTAATGCAATTGATTGTTCACCTTGGATTCCATGCTCTCATCGTTATAACGCAAAGTCCATGCGTTTATGTTGGCCAACCTCATGCGTTTATTACTGGCGGTTTCGATAGCGTTCTTCTTCTCGACTGTCGTCGAAGTTGCCTTGTTGCTCGGTTTGGCCGGTTGACCGTTTTCCTCTTCGAGATATTCGGACTCCAAATTACTCACCGACGTAGCTGTATTTAACTGCGATCGCAAAATAAATAAAAGAAAGTAATAATCTTGATTGCAAAATGTTAAATAGAAGTGTAATTTTTAAATTTGATTAGTGAAATAATATATATCATTGCATATAAATTAATTAACATTTTATTGCAATTAGATTAATTCAGCCCAATTAAAAGATTTATAAGGCACTATATAATATATATGGAAAATTTTAAAAATCGATAAGATAATTTACTAAAATCAATTAATGATAAGTTAAAATAAATAAACTGAAATTCTTCTTATATAGATTTTTTAAATTGCGATTTAATTTCTTTAGATGATGTCATATATTAAACCGTAGGGTGTATCAATAGTTGAACAAAATGCAAGTTAACGCTCACATTTTCGAATGGGATTTCAGGCGTCCAATCGACCCCGATGTCGTCGTCCACAGTGGAATTCGGAGCCGCGTTGCTGTTCGCGGTGTGTGGATTGTTCATCTTGAAGCTCTTTTTGTTCTTATTTGCGGCCATCTCTTCCTCCGTCCAGACCTTCGGCTTCGACGATTGTCTTCGTCTGGACTTGAGGGGCTCCACCTGCTTGATGAGGTACGTTACGACGTTCCTGTCCTTGAGATAATTGTCCCGCTCGCTTCCGTAGCCGGGTTCCACCTCGTAAACGTCGTTTAGGCACTTGAGCGTGTCGGCGGAAATATGCACCCTCCTGTAAAGAGAAATCCCGCGCATTTCCAGAATTTGTGAATCTTGAAGGCTTCGAATGGGAGGCAGATTCACGGGTTTAAATTTTTTTTCGGAAAATTCTAATTTCACTTTTTCGAAACGAGTGAAAACCCAAGAATTTATAAAAATACATCAATAATTGCTCGTATAATAAAATTAAGCTCAAAGAAAAATAAGCTTTATCAGTTGCTTTTATTCAATAAAATTAACTTTATAATATTACAATTTACACTTTTGGGTAATATGATGAGGTTTTTGTTTTTATATGCCTACCCTGGTATTCCTCCGCTTTCGAGATGATTCGCGAGCGTAACGTCATACGACCATACGTCGAATTGCCACTTTCGCAACCCCAAGACTCCGCACAGTACCGATCCACTGTGGATCCCTATTCTCATGTTCAGGTCCACCTGAAAAAAAAAATGTGCACCAGAAGAATGAATGAAAAATTCAAGATAGCATTTTAAAAATATATTCATTTTTTCAAATATTTCTTAAATAAGATATACATTTATTTGGAGAATATTGATTCTCTCAAGTATTTGAAGATTCTCTCGTTTCATTTGTATCGTGAGATAAAGTCCTAGTACCTTCGTGGTGAATCTCACGTCCCGTATGGCCTTAATCATGTGCAGGCCCATCTCGACGCAACAATGGGCATGATCGCTCCTGGCGATCGGCAGGCCGGAGATGCAGTAGTAACAGTCACCTAGAAGCTTTATCCGTAGACAATGGTTCTCCGCCGAGAGCTTGTCGAAGCGAGCAAAGAGATCGTTCAGCACCTTGACTAGCTCCTGGGCGCTGCATTGACTCGCGAGAGCTTGGGTAAAATTGGTAGATGGAATGAATTATCGTTCTGACTCGTATATTTTGTTTCTTTTTTCTCAGTGAAATTAATGATATAGGAAAAGTGACATCTCTCAACGAGCAAAATTTTTCAGAACCGTACCCGTGAATCCCTTGATGTCGGCAAACAGGATGCTGACGTTCTCATAGCGATGGATGTATATCCGGTGGAATTGATTCGGCGTGAAGGATATCGTCCCCCCACGTGCCGTCTCGCGAGCGATATCGCGGATCATTTCCTTGGCGACGAAATCGGGCAACACTTCAATCGAGTAAGAATTATAAAGTTAATTATTTCGATTTTTTTATATTTTGATTAAGATATAAAAAGTATGCTTTATATATCTGTGAATGTAAAACAAGCATATAATTTTTTTCTGAATTTAAAGTTTTGAAAATAATTGCTGTAAAATAAAATCGTCTAAAACTTGCAGTTTATTAGAGAAGATTTAATTTAACAAAAAGTACGCTTTATTTAAGAAGAATCATCTTGACACCTTGAATATACAATAACTTTAGTAGATATTTTATTATAACCGATATTTATATAATTTATTACTTATATTATTATTTTATTTAACTTTTATATAGTAATAATTACTTTATAAAAATATAAAAAAAATGTGCGTTTTCCCTATTATTCTTTGATGTAGACGTGTAGGAGAATTTCTCAGTGAAAATATCGAGAAAGAATATTATTATTATTATTATTGTAAATCGCGCCACAATTCTCTCTTCGTAAATTCTCTCGTTTAATTCTCTCTTCATCTAATTTTCCACCTGTCATAGAAAAAAGAAATGGGTGAAAGAGCCCGCTTCAAACTGCAAAACAAGCTATTCACCTAGCTATTTACGCATCTCAAGTTTAATTGTCGAAAAGGGCTCTTCAATTTCCACGGCTTATAACTTTGTATAACTAAGAAGCCTCGCGGCATCATATCAATTCACCGAGAACACAAACAAATTATACGGCGAGAATTACGAGTTGCGAGCGATAGTGGGTCAGAGGTTGGTATTTATGTAATCCCGGCGTAATGTGTACTCGACGACGATGTGTATTTTCGTCTAGGCTACGAGGAGTAGCAAATCGATATATCGGGTGGGATCTCGGCGGAGGGTAATGCCGACGTAACGCAAAAGGCTATCGGAAAAACGTGCGTCCAATCGGCGCAATCGGCCGAGAGAGTGTCTAGTGACCCTTTTTGACACTCGGCCGAGCAAATTATGCACGGACGAGTGACGGCGCGAGTCGCCCGCCCCGCGCGCGCCGCGTTCGTGTTACAATAAATATGCACATAAATACACCAGCCTAGTTACGATCCCGCGACGAGAGATCGTCTCTCTTTCTCGATCGCTTCTCGAGAGAGGAGCTTTTGTTTCTTTTGAGTCGCGGATACTTTAATTTAATTGCATTTCATATTAGCTTTATAATCGAATGTCCACTTTTGTCAAAGGCCGTCCTTGCTTCATCGAAAACTTTATTTAAGTCTCTACTTTTTAATCGCGCGTTTTTTTTCAAGATATTTTTCAGATTAATGATTAGATTCGTTAGATATATAATTTCCCCCTATTGATTTTTTGTAGCTGAAGAATCGCACGACTATTTTTCGCTAGATATATACATCCTCGTGTAACACAAGATTACTCGATTGAAGCATTTATTATGATCCTAGAATAAATTCTTTAAGAACATGCTGCGTATGAACATATGAAGAGTATAGAATATAATTTAATAAAAAAATTAATAAAAATAAGGTAAACAAAATAGGTGCAAGATTAGGTAAAATGCAGAATCTCTCAATTTTTTTTTTGCTTCTTTACCCGAGAGCAGCAGCTTTTCCTGCCGATTGTTCTCATTCTGCGTGCGCTGCCGCGTCTCCGTGGAACGATGGGTCTCGAGGAAAGCCTGTCGTTGTCCCCGGTCTGTCAGGTACTTGGTGTACATGCCGGCCAGGTTCACGGCCAGGTACAGCAGCACGTTTGTTGTCAGCATGCGGACGATGCACGCCACGTCGCGCGGCTGCGAGAAAAATTTCAAGATCGTTCAATCTAATTTAGAAGCCCTATGATCTAATAATTGAAGTTAAACATAAGCAAAATGAGAATTAAAGCCGAATTTAAATTTTGTAAGAAAATTTAGCTTAAATTATTAAATAAAATTAATATAAAATATTTTCGAAGAGGGATATTTTGGATGAGGAAATTCTAAGAGGTACAAGTTCTCTCACATATGTGGAGTCCGGCAGGAGACTTATGCCGGTCATCACCATGTGTGTTAGCGCCGTTCCGTAACCGGCGAGGACGCACCATCGCAACGGCAAGGGCAGCATCGCGTACGGCGCGTACACGACGAAGAGTATATACCACATGAGCCGCTGCTGCGTAATGAAATTCAGACCGGCACTTATGAAGCCTGCGAAACAAAAAAAAAAAAGGAAAAAAGAAGAACGAGAGAGATGAAAAAAATCTCTGAGAATTTCAGATTTTCCATGTTTTTCCAGGGAGACGACACCTTGGGGACACGATAATCACTCGCGATATTGAGTCTTCGTCTCTTCATGACGCGTTCGATCTAGAATGAGGGATGTGCAATATTTCGGAGATTATTTTCGCGCCCAGAATCTGAACCCAGTAAAATTACCGGTTTCGGTCTCTGGCTTTGCTCCACGCTCCGGCGAGCAGCCGTCAGCCCGATTTTAGCTGACCAGTAGAGCACGACGCCGTTCGATTCAACGACGATGGATTCGATAGAGTCGAAATATTGACGACCCCGAGTGAGAAGCTATTAGAATAGTGTGAAAACAACGGGAGGAGAAACAAAGCTTTACTTTAGTTTACATCTTTTAATATAGAAAAAAGAAATTTTAATTCCCCTTTTCAGAGAGATTTTAAATCGATAATTTTATTGAAGGATGGAAAAGTGACGCGAAAGAGGGACTGCTTCCGATATTTCCAAATCGAGTAATTATAATTGCGGCGAGTTTATAATTACGGGGATCGATAAGACAGAACGCGCGAGTCGCGTGGGCCTCACCTTGAGTGTTTATTAATAACCAAGTGAATATCGAGGCCCAGTACAGATGATTGCTAGAAAAGCAACGCCACCAGCCGAGCACGCACACCACCAGATTCGCCGCCATGCAACACACGGCCCATGATAAGCCCTCGATGAGGCCTCCGTTACGTGGGTCCCGTTGCCAGAGCCAAATCGCTGTTAACGTGATCTGCATCAGCGATAAGAGGTCGTTTCAATTAAATATTTAATTGCGTAATTAAAAGTTCATTATTTACAAGATCTTTCTTGCCTTAGTTTTTATTAATTATATCCTCTAGAATTTTATATAGCGATATGGAATTTTTTGAGAGTCGATTTTTATTTGAAAGATTTACGAGAAAATAGACTTTTGATTCGAATCCATTTTACACGATATTACACAATTTAATTTCGTGAAGCATAAAAAAGTTGCGACTTAGTTGGCTAATTTTTTACTTAAAGATTCAAGATAAAAAGAAAAAGATTTATCTTATATGATTCTATAGGATTCATATATGATTTTATTTAATTGCATGATTTTTTCATAAGATCAATTTGCGTATTTATTAATTTTTTTTTTTATTGCTTTTACTCACTTTCAGGCCGAAGTCCACGATGTTCAGCGTAATCAGGGACTTCTGCCTCTGTCGATTCGAGTAGAGAAGGTAGGATGTCTCCAGGTGCTTGTTATGAAAGCTGTTGGTTAACGAGGGCAAGAATATTCCCTTGTACAGCACCCCCTTCTTGAAGACATCTGAAATGCAACGCTAGCTTCTAATATCGAGCTAGATGAAAATGATTTTGAGAATGGCAATAATTTCCTGGAGGATTTACCGCATTGGGTCTGAGCTTCCTCATCGGGCACAGCCTGTTCAGCACCGTCTTCCGATTCCGCTTCCGCATCCTCGATTCTCTCGATGGGCACTTGAACGTCGTTCTTGGCTTCGGCGATGATCTCGGGATCCGCGTTGGACTTCCGGTCCTCCCACGCCGCCAGTCCCTCCCGGCCCAGCCTCTCGGAGGTCAGTTTCTTCACCGCCTTGATCCATAATTGTTTCCTCGGCGAAATGCTCGACCTGATTATATCGGAGTTATACGATTCGCCGATTAATTAACGAATGATGATTGGATTGGGCGATAATAACGTTGCGTAGCGTGAAATTTGTCGAGAATATTTCATCTTGTCAAATATTCCGCAAAAATATATAATATATTGTTAATAATGGAATAATGATATTATTCAATGATAATAATTAAAATATTTTTATAATATTATTAAATAATAAAAAAATGTGATTAAAATAATTTTATAGTATATATATAAATCATACTTATAAAGTCGTTGCATATAAAAAGTAATTTTTGTATGGATCAATTTCTAGGAAAATTAGATGTGTAACTTAAAATATCTCAATTTTTTTCGTAGATCGAACAAATTTCACACTCGACAAACATGACATACGAGATTGGCGATCACTCACTCGTTGATGCTCGTGACATCGCTGTCCAGCATCATGCTCCAGGTCTGTTCTGTAATCATTATCTCCCCGATGATCCGCGGATCACGACTGACCGCTTACGTTGTGATCGTCAGTAAGGCAACAAGTGCCTTAGTGTCATCCGGCATTGTTCACAGACACCTTGAATAAAAACTGACTGCGAGGTAGCGACGATCGTTCGCACCACGGCGACGTTTTTCGAGGCGAAACGTCGTTTCTCGAGACGAGAGAAAACGGTCGATCGAGAGACCCAGAGAATCACGAAGATCGATCCACGATCGCGATGTTCGTACTCAATAAAATCCGGCTTGGATCCGCGTGCTTTTTACGATCGGCGAGATGCGAGAGGCGTCTGGTCGAAGTGTCATGTCTTTTTCCTTTCTCTTTAGCGTATCGGGTCGTGACGAAAACGCCTCCATGGGGACGCCTACGTGTTCTTTTTCCTCTAACACTTTTAAGTGTTCCTTTAATCGCTCGTATGTGGTCGGATTTCTTCGTCGATATTCAAGTAAAATTCGCGAGATTTAGCCAAAAAGAAATGACATCGCAAGAGAGACGAGGACAAAAGAGAAGAAATGTTTCTTGCTATATCTTGAGAGATTTTAGACTTTATTTAAATTTAAATTAAAATCTCGAGTTACTATATCATCGAAAATATAAATGCTTAGCATTGTCATACTATCAAGGGGACACCACGTACTCTGATTGACACACCGTTTTTCATAAAACATTTTTTATGAGTAGCTTTTGAAAAAAAAAAGTTTTTAATACAAATTATATTTATTTATTTTTTTTTGAATCATTGTAAAAAATTAGTATAATTTTTATAGAATAATTAATCCTTTCGAAGTGAATATAATATATAAATCACGCTGGATAATGTAAAATCCCCGTTCTTGAAGATTTAAAAACTTTTTCGATAATAATGTTCTTCGCGAGCTACGTACAGCAGGGATCGAGAAAACCGTTATGTTATTTATCGCGAGGTATAAAATAAAGTTTTGGAGGATTTTCCGAAAGGGACAGAACAGTTATAAAGAAAAAGCCACTAGGAAATTTCCGTTCCTAAAAGCCGATACTCTTGTTGTTACTTATCGCAAATCTGCTATTAGTCGCTCGATGTTCTTGTAGCAAGATGTGTAAAAACGTATTTTCCGATTTGTATTAAACTTTATGAATTTTTTCTCTGCAAATTCCGAGAAGTGCATCGAACGGCTTTGCAAGGAAACTTCATTGGAGGAAAACTACCCATAAAAAATTTTTTATCAAAATCGATGAGTCAGAGTACGTAGTGTCCCCTTGTATTCGATATATTATATTAATGTTTAAAATATAATATATATATATATATATATCTTGTATAAAAATTTTAAATTTTGCATTTGAATTTATATTATATTGCAATAGAAATATATACGTAAATCTATTTATTTATTTATCTATCCTGAAAAAATAAGCATCATTCTCTGATTCTGAATTTTTGCAGGTTTCTGCGAGAGAATGATTTTTTGAACATGTCTTTATATATATATATATATATATATATATATATATATATAATATTAAAAAAATCAATAATTGTGTGTACATAAAATAATATCAAAAATAAATTCCCGCAGAAAAAGATTATGTAATCTTTCGTCAAGAGGAGACTCTGTCCGTGATGTTGTTTGAAGAAGCTTTATAGATTTATTTTCCAGGTCATTAGGGATTAATTACACAGTAGCCTTTAATCGTCAATAATGTCCATCATCATTTCTGGATGCTTTCTTTTTCGCCAACCAGCTCGTATTTTCACGAGACGCGAATCCACGATATTGTCTTGCTGTCTCTTTGCTTTTGCTTCGTTATTTTCGTCACGACACAACGCGCATTTTCGGATGAAGAAACGAGATATTCAATCACGGTTCCAAAAGCAAGTTAAAAAGAACACATACACTATTTGTTTATCGAAATTTTGCGACACCAAAGAGACATGATCGTAATCGTCTCATAAGTATAATTTGTAAAAGAATTATATAATTTATGAATATTCCAATTTTTTAATAATTAAACAAGAGTCTATTATATTACGTAAAAAAAATAAAAATTTCGCGCGACTATATATCTCGTTGCAATTTTAATAAAACGGAAGAGCCGCTCTATGCTGTGTAGGCTCGATTACGAGCGACTTACCTTAATCGTCGATCCTAGGCAAAGGGAACAACGGCTCCTTCCTGCCGCGTCCTGGCATCGAGTCCAAGGAGTCGCGGGAACTCGAAAATCGCGCGCGCGCTTCTCCCGACGAGCAGAATCTACGAGGTGTCCGCGAAGTTCAACTCGCATCCCCCATCGTTGTCGGCTCATCCCCCCTTTCCCTATTGTTAGATCCAACGATCCGGCGGAGGGGCGGAGCCGGTACCTCAGAATAGCGATGCTATCATTATTGCGGGTTGAAAAATGTACTGCGTATAATTAAATTTCAACTATCTTAGATTTATCAGAGGGAAAAAGGGAAGCGACCACCGGACCTTTTTCTTTAAGGCTATGACACGTGAAAAAGTTTTAGACGTAACCGTATTAATTATAGAGAGAAAAAATGTACGTCCGATAGACCGTTGAGTAGTACTACTCGAAAATAAGTCTGCGCAACTCGATTGTTGAGTTCTACTACTGAAAACTGTCCGTACGCATTTATCGTCGACTCGTACCACGATTTTGATTAAAAGTATACATTGGCAATTTATATAGCGTATTTTATTGAAATTACTAATGATCCTGAGTCTGATTAATCGTCGGAACATATTTCCGAGGAATAAAAAAAAGTCCATATTATTATTCTCAACATTGATTTGTACTACTGAGAAATTTATATTTAATGTGTACCCATAATGTTGCTATCAATTTTGAAACAACAATAAATCTTCCTCGTCATTAGCTGTTTTGCGCAAACTGATTAGAGTATAACGATTATAAAGATTAGATTGTAAAAATTATTTCAGTATTATTTAATTCCGGACTATTATTTCTTTCCAGCAAACATAAAGTAACAGTAACATATAACATCAATATTATAATTTCCCACTCAACAATGTAACGTATAAGGTATGTTACATTGCAGTTACATTGTTTGCATCGACCACATGCAACGCACGACGAGTCTCTATTTTTATGGGCCCCAGGAAATGTCAAAAGGCGCTTGCATCGAAGCACGTGGCTGTCAAAGTAGTCACGTGCGCGGTTAGCGCATGCGTCTCGGAGCTCTTTATCTCGTGACACCATTCGGTTTGATTCTGAGAAGCCGAATGAGGCCGAGGGAAGCCGACGGAGGCCGAGGCTGAGAGCGAGATTGAATGAACCAGTAGAGCGCATAAGAGCGCGTGGTGACGTTATTGGATAAGGTTAAACATTATGGGATGCCAGAAAATATGCAGGGAATCTGATTACGAGACAATATATTTCGTCATCAAGCAACGAAGCAAATGTTAGGTATGAAGAACAATTGAAAGAGAACAGGAGTAAAATAAATCTAACAATATATTAAACAATTAAGCATATTTCGTTCTTGTTTTATAGTATTTCTTTAAAGAAATGTAATTAAAAGAAACGTGTCACTTATTTCTTACATTGACTATGCATTAAATAGATCTGAAATTTATTTCTCTTGCAGAAATGACTGAGAGAGCTTCCTTAAATTTAATATAAAAACTGTGATTCATTTCAAGCGAAGAACAATTATTCGCAGACACAGCATGCATTGGATCAAGATCTCGTGTATTCTCTGTATGTTTGGGTGCTTTAAAGACTTCCGACCTTCTGAGTCTTTCGTGACGAATTATCTGACTGGGCCATGGAAAAATTTTACAGACGAGCAAGTTAGTTTCTAAAATATTCAGTGTGCGATTGAGCATTCACTTAATATAAATAATTTAAATAACATCAATGGTATGTTTTTAGGTGAATCAAGACATTTATCCTGTCTCCACATACAGTTACTTAGCGACATTGATAATTGTGTTTCTAATCACAGACCTTGTCAGATACAAGCCTATCATCATACTCTGCGGTCTCTCCGGCATTGTCACATTCCTTATGATAATACTTGGAAGAACTGTGCTGGTGTTTCAGATCCTCGAGTTCTTTTACGGTCTATATTTTTCTACAGAAGTGGCATACTACACATACATATATGCCAAAGTAGATAAGATGCACTATCAAGAAGTGACAAGCCACACTAAAGCAGCCACACTGTTTGGTCGCAGCATGTCAGGCATTATAGCACAATTAACAGCCTCCTATGATCTACTGGACTATCACCAGCTCAATTATCTAACTATTTCAGGTATATATAATGTAATTACAGGAAAGTCCAATGTAAAATAAGCAGACTTTTCAGAGACTTTCCACAACTGCAACACATTTAATCATAATTTATATGATTAATGTGTTGCAATTGTGGACTCATCAAATTCATAAATTCTTATCAAATTCTCATCAAATTCTCATACATCATTTTCCACATATAACGTTCATTATATGTAGAGTGTTCGATATTAATTTGTATGAATATAAAATCTATTATTATTTACAATTATGTAATACTTTTAGCCAATGTTTTTGCGACGATCTGGGCATTCTTCTTGCCTTCCGTGGACCAATCGATATATTTCCATCGCGCCAGCATTTCCGACGGGGAGCAGGGGGAGGGTAAAGGGCCGTTCGATTATCAATTGACGAGTGAGCCAACCAAGTATCGCTGCTTTGCGATATCAAGAACGCCACTGCGTAAGATCAAGAATGCGTACGCGCTGCTGTGGAAACATTTTTTGCAGGCCTACACCAATTACCGCGTGATCAAGTGGTCGTTCTGGTGGGCTCTGGCCACCTGTGGTTATCTGCAGATCATTAGTTATGTGCAACTGTTGTGGAAGGATGCCGTGAAGCCGGGTGACATGATCTATAACGGCGCGGTGGATTTTTTCTACGCGATCATTGGTAAGAGAGAGAGAAGACTCAATCGTCTCTGAAATATCTCATTTAAATCGTTTAAAATCGGACCAACAAGTTAGGATTAAAAAATTACAATTTTAAACAATTAATTGTCTTCGAGCCCGAGTTAAATTGCACAGCAATTCTAGAATATGCGAGTAAATTTCATGCGACTTGCGTATTCTGCGTAATTTGAATATCTTTGCCACTATCATTATATCGTTAATGTTATCTTGAGTGGCTTGCGTGACTGATTTTGTTTTGATAATTGTAGATATCTGCGCAAGATAAACCTAATGGAGGCTACTGATAGCAACAGCATGCTTTAAAGTGATAAACATTTTTGACAGATAATTATTCCCTCAATTGTTCCTGTATTACGAATTAAGAACTATAAATATATAGATTCATATAGAAATATAGATGTAAATAAAAGTAGATTTGTTTGTGCAATTAACAAATTGCATAAAATATTTCATTAGAGAAATGTTTTATTTATTAATTTTAAACTATTCTGTTTTCAAAAACTTACATTTAAAAAAAGATTAGTATTTATTAAAATGCAAATCAGTGAGATTGAATACTGAATGTCCTTTTATCTATATATTTGCTCGAAATAAACACTTTATCAAAATTGATCGAGCGATAAGATTAGAAGACGTAATTAAATTAAATGGAAAATTTTTTTCCGAATTTTATTTTACATATTTTTTTTTTGTTTTCATTAGGTGCAGGGACCGTATTTTGTATAGGGAAGATAAAGTTAAACTGGAACCTGATAGGGGACGTGACGTTGTCCGTATTTTCGTTTCTGGAAGGCGTTATATTAGTGACAGCTTCTTACAATGACAACATCTGGTACCTGTACGGTAGCTATATCATATTCGGCGTGATTTATCACACTATGGCTACTGTTGCAAGGTGAATATTTTGTTGCGACATAAATTTCCATTTCGATGGAGATGTAAAGAAAAAAAAAATCAGAGAGCGTGTCGTTTGTTCTTAGTTTCGAGATCGCTAAGTACATATCCGAGGATAGTTATGGCCTGATATTCGGAGTGAACACGTTCTTCGCACTATTGGCGCAGAGTCTGCTAACGTTCATAGTTGTCAACAAGCTCATGCTGAACATTCGGCAGCAGGTAAGATCCGCGGCGAAAATGGCGCTTCCTCGAATAACGCGAGATTCTTTGTATTTTTCAGTACTTCGTCTACGGTGGTTACTTCGTGGTCTTGTCTATGATGTACATTTTGATGGGTGTCGTTAACATTGTGCAACATTATCGAAGCAGCGAGAAGTTTCGTGTACGGACTAGCGACAAGGATAAATCTCTATCCGCGACGCAAAACGCGAGTAGCGTGAGCGACGTAACGTCGTTCAAGTCTGAGCACAATGGTAGTTGAGACAAATGCATCTTAGCTGGCAATCGTATTAGTAATTTGAGTTACACATTGTTCTTTATACACAGTTTTGTATATAGTTTTTGATTTGTTGAATGATTTTATTTGTGATATGGTGTTGCTAATTTTTTATAAAATATTTTTATTATCTATATAGTCAGTGTTTTTTCGCGACGCATTGTTGTTCCTGAGAACTTTAGATAGATATTAGTATTGGACATATCGTATACACAGTATATATGCAGTATTAAATTGTTACATAGAATTTCTTAAAACACTGAACTAATATTTTATTATAGAGAAAGAATTATCTTCTCGTTTAATTTCAATTTTATTTGAAGAAAAGCAAGCCCTAATGTATTAACTTAATATTATTATTTTCTGACGAGAGATAATTGGATCAATCGTATTTATACGAGAATACGAATAAACGATCTAATTGCATTTATCTTCAAATAAGCTCGCTAAAAAAGGAGAAATAATCGCAATCGTGAAGGATTTCCGTTTTAGGAAATCATCTGAATACATATTTCTAGTGATTGTGGTTTTGTAATGTTGAATAAAAACCCTCGAATAAAATATTATTTTAAAATTGCGATTATTCTCGTGATCCCGTTTTTTCGTTTATTTCCTCGACGAAGATAATAGCTTTTACATAATAGCGATCGTTTGATTTTAAAAATACGAGACGATCAATAGACCGGTTGTTTGATATCGGGACACTTGTTCGCTTTATCAAGTTTATAATCTTCGGATCAGATATACGGAAAGAGATTCATGCGAGCGTTCTTTAATTAAAATTTATTTTCAAGCCTTGTATCTCGCGCGAAAATCTCTCAAACAACAAAAAGACATTTTTTAAATTAAACAGTGATTATATTAATTTTTATTATATCAAACTCATTAATTGAATTGTATTATAGATTGAATTAAATTGAAAGATTTCAGTTAAGGTTTTAGAGGAAAAACCGAATTACATGTCATTAAATAATGGCAATTAATAAAATTATTTAATTTTTTAAGAATTGAATTGTTAAACTGCTTAATATGGAAATCTTTTACCGTATTAAATTTATTAATTAAACTTTTATTGTACTGGATGGTCGTAAAAAAATCATGCCTTTGTTAATATAATATAATATACTATACTATAATAAATTAATATATAATATTGAATCAAATTGTCGAAGTTGACGAAGCGAATTGGTATGCTGATAAACATCGTTCCTCGGATTTCCCGAAATTCTTCGACGCCTTCTTGATGGATTACCATTTACGTTGTTATCCAATTTACACGAATGGATGTTTTTTTAGCTTATTTTTCTCCGACGTGAAAGCTGCGGTCCATCGTGGATGATTCGACTGGGATTTTCCCACATTTGCTCCGAAAGAATATAGATATGCGTATGTCCGCGTACGCGCGTTGACGAGTATACTTGTATAAATACGGCTTTAAATTAATTTACGTTATTTTGCAGATTAAAGAGAGAAACTCTTGTCGTAAAGAAAAAAATTATCGAAAAATTTATTAGCGATGGAACATTATTTTATTCAACTTAAGTATTAGATTGCATTAAATTGTAAAGAATGCGCAATTTTCTTCAAGTAATTCTCTGATCACAGTCGTGATATAAAAAGTCATATGACAACGTATGATTACGTCGTTACAATCGTTGACACGTTCCATTATAAGAAACCGTTATTTGCAAGACTTTAATGTTCTTTCATTCTTTATCACCTAAAAATTCTCTAATAGATCGGTGCACGCGCTTTCTGATCACATCTCATAATTTATCTTCAGGTAAGATTAGGGAATTTTCGAAGTGTATATATTTTCTCAAATTTAGTCTTTTTCTATCTTTCTCTCTTTCTCTTTCTAAATTACGAAAAAAAAAAATCCAATTTAATCAGATCTACTTTTACTTTATTGTCATGTTGAACTGTCATTTTTATTAATTTTTTACTAAGAAAAAAGAATTTATATTTTGTTGAAAATCTTATTTGCTAATTTAATTATAATAAAGACACAATTTATAATTATAATTGTTATATTATAATTAATTATAATATTATACAGAAAATTTGCGGCATACTTTGTCAATTTATATAAATAAGTACTATCGCAGTAATTTTTATCTCTGCGAAACAAACCAAAACATTTACATGATTCTTCTGACATCATAATCTAATATGGTTGCGGCGAAGGGGTCAGAAGCCTCAAACGTAATACTTAATCGCTCGTTAAGTTATTTGACTTGTCAATCTTGGCTAATCCCTGTAGATTAGATGGACAAATACGCGAGTGAGAAGTATACTAGATACTAGATACTTGATACTAGAATCGCGATGGGATTTATGATAGATTGATTTCGCGCGAATTTGCTACATGTAGATTTCTCTCACATAAGAGAACGGAATTTCTGAAAAATTTTCGGCCAATTTATTTCTTATTAAACAAGTTTATGCGTAAACGAAGCTGGATCTTTTCAAGAGGATGAATTTTCCGAGATGAAATTGTTTTTCGTGCAGAAGTAAAATTCGCGAACAATAATAATGGCCGTATATCGTGAAATCGTTGACAGACATGACAGGGATTTTCTAGAAATATAATCGACGATTACGACTGGGCATTTCCAAGAGACGAGAAATAATGGATTGGCCCCCGCGAGAAGTGTTTACGTACGTATATAAACGCGCTCAGGGTCGAATTGGAAAAGGAAGAGCTCTGACTGAAATAAAAATCAGGAAGATTTTTCATAGGAATGTAAATAGCTTCGGTAGATATATTTTGTTTAGATAATTGATTTAATTACTTCATTTTATTCAATATAAATTATATATTTTAAGAATTGTAAAAGCATGGCGTACATTTACTATATATAAAATTTAAAAATATATATTTGTTAAAAGAGAGAGAAAAAAGCTTTTTCTATAGACATTGTTTAAAAATTTGATCAAAATTGAAAAAAATGATTTTTATTATAATTAATCCGTAAAACTTTATTTCTGAAATATATTTGTTCTGGCTCTTCTCGATTGAATCCGATCCTGGATACTATTGTGTACGTCGTGACGTTCTCCAAACGTGACAAAGTGGGAAAAGAGGGGGGCCTGGCATTTTCTTCTGTTCGTGGTCGCTCGCAGCCATCAGTCCTGCGTCTTCTCGATCGTCGTTCGGACGTATTGTAATAATCGATTGACCAACATCGCTGTGATCACCCTATTCGCTGAAATTCCGAGAATGTGTCGAACTATGTCGTTCCTCACGGTGAGTGCTACTGTCTCTTCTACTCGCGCTTTTTCTACTTCGTCCCGATTTCGCGGACAGGAGACAATTCTCGAAATTTGATAGAATATTATTCGTTAGGAATTGCCTCTCGAAGACTGTGTTGTTGCATTCCTCCCTGACCTTTTGACGGTTGACTCCAATGCAAGTTCAACCGCGATAAGTCTTATCGAAAGATTGAGAATAAACGTTCTCAGTCTTTTGCAAATTAATTTCTGGATTTATTAAATAAGTGACTTTATCTTATATATTTAAAAAATATTTTTTCAATTAAAATACTTGTTTATCTCTAAATTTTTGGAAATATATTTCCCTCAGAAAAGGAATTAAAGCTTATAAATTTTTAATATAATAAATTTTAAATCTACTGATAATCATCGCACACATTTATCACTTGAACATAAAACTGAAACAATTGTCGTTACTGATCATTTCTATCTCGTTTTATCTCGAGCAACGTTACTAGGATTTATGTAATAAATGTCGATTCATGAATGCATCGAATAACATACGCAACGCATTAATGCCATATACGTACTCGATATAACGTTATTATTGTGAAATGCCGGACGATTTTATTACAAACACACGGTGATATCATCAGAGGACAAAATCCATCAACAACTATCCGTCGTCATGTTTAACGCTAATTATGATTGTCAATTTCACGCGGACATTATTCTTTTCTGAGTTAATAATAAAAGTTTCAACTCATTAACTGCAATTTTTTTCTATTATACTTGTGGCTTTTAACGAGTTAATCAAACCACACCCACGGTTACTTTACAAAATCTTCATGCCTTGAGATTCTTGTGTAGAGATAACAAAGTTCTTCTCTCATAATTTTCACGGAATTTCCCATTCATAAGTTCTTACGTCATGATTATGTTAAGCTGTTTAATCGCTTGTAAAAAAAAAAGAAAAAGAAAAAGAGTCACTTCCAAGAATGAAACGGGCAATGACTACTTCGCGAGCACGCTTGTCATGAATCGTACACGATACGTGATCGCCATGTAAACACGAGCGATATACGAGCGAAGAATTCATTAGCGATTCCCGCGATATTTTAATTGGATCTCGTAAAAAATTCAACTTTCATTCTCAGAGATAGATCCTTATTTAAAAATTCATTTAAATTTAAAATTCATTACAATTTTTTAATTTTAATTCACATTTATTTCTAATTTATTTCAAATTTTAAATCGAGCTTTAATTTTAATTTGGACGGATTTTTTTCGCACTCTACGTTTTACTTTTAATTCACCCAAGCTTATTTTCATTCTGATTTTAATTTTATTTTTCATTTCGATCGCTGTTTAGTACACATATATGCGATTTATGTATCGTTACATCTACAAAAGTTTCACATATAATTATAAAATTTCTGAAAAAAAATATTTTAATAAAAAATTATCAAATTTGAAAGTGCTTGTCGTTATCCTAGCATTATTTGTAAGCAATGTTCTGAGAAATACGTTTGAAAAATTATAAAGAAAAAAAGAAATAAAAAATTAACGCTATTTAATTGCTCGAAATATATCAAATAACTTGAATAAAAAGCTAAAATGACTGAATTTTAATTTAGCTCAATTTTCATTATAGTTTCAATTTTTGATTCAATCTGAACTCAAACTTTCATTGGAATTTCAATCTTTTCTGATCTCAATTTCAACTGAAAGTAATTATTTTGATTCCATCATATTATTTCAATTCTAGTTTCAAGTTCGAGAAACATATTCCAATCTTTATTTTAATTTCAATCCTAGTTTCAATTTTTATTAAGGAAGTGAAGAAAATTTTCATGATGACCTCGTTGCTTATGATACCATCAATAATTACGCTACATACCGTTGTCCATTAATTGCCACTTTACGTCGAGTATAGATTTCGTGTTGTCTGCGATATTGCGATGATTCTATCTTTACGCGAAAATACCACCTTCGTCACGCGAGTTTTCGTCACGCGTTAATTTCAGCCAAGAAAGCCGGATGCCCTATGATGTCACACACAGCGTTGGCTACTTTCTCTCGTTCCTGGCCCCCGATTTCCGATCCGACCGCAATTTCGCCGTACGCATTATGCAGGACCGAGAGTGCCGCCCTGAGGAAGGAAATTGTGAAGGGAATCCCCGCGCAGTTGCATCACTTCTCGAATAATAGAGATCCTAAAATGCATACCGGATGAATCGCGATACGCAATCGCGTGAAGAGAAGAGATATATAATACTGCCATTTATTTTCAGAAAATTGAGATATGAATCTGAGATTTAAGTCCTTGAACGAGTCCTTGTTCTTTGAATGACTAGGCTATATTCGGATCAAAAGGATTATACAGCTAGTCGCGATTGATCTCTCGATACATAATAATTGCGGGACACGTGGTCTAGAAACCCGCATAAATTAGAGGCTATTGTTGCCTGAGAAACAGCGTTGCAAAATATTAAAAAAAAAAAGAAAAAAAATATATGTATATATATCTGCGGCACACATTTCTTCCCGTGCTGTCTCGCATTTTGCATCAAACGAGCGATTCCATGTCCGCTTTCTCTGTCGAGTGAGAAAGTTTTTTTCCTCCCGATCGCGCATACTCGAGCGAGAGAATGATGTCAGCCGCCTTTATTCACGCGGAATATCCTTAATCTTTCCACAACGGTCAAACTCGACGATAAATAGTAGTCGAATAAGACATTAATCGCGAAAATCAGAAAAATTAACGTATCTAACATATTAATTTTTATTCTACTTTTCTTCATTCCTTTTCTATCTCAAAGCATACTTTTATGTATTGCGAATAATATATGTATTTGCAATGTCAGAAGATTAAAAAAAACCGAGAAACACGGAGAAAAATAAACCGCTTAAATTTTATATATAATAAAATTATATAAAAATATTTTGTAATATTAAAATATTTTTTAAATATTTAAATATTCAATATTTTTTATACTATTTCTTCTATCTTTCAGACAATACTGCCGCTATCGCTGACAATCGGCATGATATCAGCGCAGTGTTTAACGGGAAATGATAATCCCGCGCTGATGGACCCGGCGTCCATGGTATCACTGACGGACGCCCGTTTCGATTTCGCGCTCGACAGCCTAAAGAAGGCCGCGTTGATCGAGACGAAGGACAACCTCTTCTTCAGCCCACACAGCATACACTATGCCCTGAGCCTGGCGTATTTCGGGGCCCGCGGTACTACCGAGGCTTCCCTCAAACAGGCCCTTCGTATTCCCGATCAGCTGTCTAAGGTCGACGTGCAACATTATTACAGCTTTGAGAGATCGCTCAATCAAGCGCGTTCCGAGGTGAGTGATTCCGGCATCTCTCTGTCAGATTGCGTAATTGCCCGTCGCGCGATTTACTTCGCCGGAGGTATGTCAAGGTGAATCGCGCGCGATTTATCGTTACATCAACATCTCCGGATCCCCAAGGTTCTAAATATATGGCAAGAATCCTTGGACGAGTTTAGGAATGCAGCGAAATATTTGATCCTCAATCGGACGGACGAGACTGAATGATGTGAGATTATCGCTTAATAAGAGGAGACGAAAATTAGTCTATTGTTGTAAAGTCAAGATATCGTGGACTGAATTAATTATGGATATATCGAACGTAAAATTAATAAATGATTAAATAAATAAATAATTCGAGTGTAAAATAACTTAACAATTTTAGAGAAAATAACACTTTTAGAAATTTATTATCTCTTAAAAATTAAAAGTTCTATGTGAATAGATTCGACTTCATTTATAATCTTGATATATTAAAGATATCCTCTAATTTGGTAATAAACTTGAGTGACGTGACTCAATCGGAGCTCTTGGAAAGATCCATCTCTTCGAGAGATTTTTCACATCGGCAATTTTCTCATTCCCGATGTTTCTTATTACAGAACGGGTCCACGGATTACGAGTACAGAGTCGCCAACAAATTTTGGATCACGAATTCCAGGAAGCTGCGCGAATGCATGTTCAACTTTTTCGGCGATCAGTTGCAAATGACCGATTTCCGTACGAATCCTGCCGAGGTGCGGAATAGCATCAACGATTGGGTCAGCAACATAACGAAAGGCCACATCCGTGACCTCTTGCCGCCCAGCAGCATCACCGAGGACACGGATCTGGTTTTGGCGAACGCGGTTTATTTTAAAGGCCTGTGGGCCCAGCGCTTCGATCCCAAGAATTCCGAACGCGATATTTTCTACGCTTCCGGCGCGCGAAACTCTATCGTTACTTTTATGCGCCTGAAGGGAAACTTTAATCACGGTAAGAAAACATTATTAATAAATTTAAATTTCATTTATAAACATATCCAAGATTTAAAAATACTGACGTACTGTTTAAATATCAATAAAAATATATGTAAAAGGTAAAAAAAAAAAAAATCAATTTCTGATATTCTTAAAATAAATTTCTTAAAAATTATAAACTTTTCATACTGTATTTTAGAGTAGACTGGGCCCTTAATTTATTCTGATGTTTCTGAGTCCTTTCCTAATCTTAAGATTAATCTTTCGTTCCAGTCGTCTCGGAGGAGCTAGGCGTGTATATTTTGGAGCTACCTTACAAGGGCAACGAAATATCGATGTTCGTGCTGCTGCCGCCGTTCTCCACCGCACGGACCCTTGTCCAGGATTCGGAGCCGCAGGACGGCATTCGTCAGTTGGTGGAACGACTGGCGACCGAGAAGGGTTCTCAGGAGCTCCGTGAGCTGCTGAACGACGGGATGCCGCCACGGGAGGTCGAGGTGAACCTGCCGCGCTTCGAGCTCGAACGGGAGCTGCAGCTCGGTCAGCTGTTGCACGCCTTGGGCGCCGGAGAACTGCTGACACCCGGAGTGGCCGATTTGCGCGGCTTCGTCGCCGACGGCGAGCCGAGCCCGCATCTTGGCGATGCCGTTCATCGCGCCCGCATCGAGGTCACCGAGGAAGGCACCACCGCGGCCGCAGCCACCGCGATTTTCACCTTCCGCTCCAGCCGGCCCACCGAACCCGCCATCTTCAACGCCAATCATCCGTTCGTCTACCTGATCTACGACAAGCACGATCGCACTATCCTCTTTACCGGGATTTTCCGTTCGCCAGCGCCCTCGCTGACCCCCCTTTAAACGAAGAGACCTTCTCGTCCCCGAAGGATCGAGGAAATCGGGCGATTCAGGGAATCGTCGCGTCAAGTCGAGATGTCTTTTTTTTTTATAGTCGATTCAACTCAACTCTGGACAGAAGGACTTGTTTCATTGTGGGTGACGTTGAGTGATTTTTGTTAACGATCGGAGATCGTTTGGATGTTTTGGTTGCTTCGAAATATCGCTAGCTTTCGAATGTGCAATCTTTCGAGGTAGAGGTCTTCTTTTACGATATTTTCCTCGAGAGGAGTCTGTTGCATGAATCTCATTAATTTATTCTCGCATTTAGATTTTATATTTTACGACATATTCTACTATGTACAGGTAAGCAAAAACGTAAAATAAAAAAAAAATCTATATAAAATTAAATCGAAATCTACGTTAATACAATCTTCTAATGATATAATGAATTTTGGTGTAATCGAAGCTCGCGCTTATTGACTAAAAAATTAATTCTACAAATGTTCCTTTTCTCGAATGTAAAATTATATGGTGACGTATCGAATAGGTAGTCTAAATAACCGAAGGAAACGTAAAAACATTAAAATTGCATTGTGGAGATTTATGTAATAAAAAAAAAAGAAAATAAAAATACATTTAGATATATGTATATAATTAAATATTACACACATTTTTTTTCAAGTCACATTAACGTTACTATAATAATATTAATTTATTTCACCAATATATTGCGACTTTCACGGATTAAAAAGTTATTAGTGATTGAAAAATTTATATTGATATAATATTGATTGAAAAATTATTTAAAAATTAATATTAACTATATATAGTCAACGCGATAACACTCAGTTTAGAACTGAACCATTTCTTTCAAATATCGACACAAATCATGTTGTATAATACTATTCTCCCGTTCATTTGTTTGATATATAAAATTATAAAATATAAAAGAAATATATGAAATTAATTTACAAATATATAAATTAATTTAATAATTGCCTTCAATTATCAACAATTTGACAATACAGAAGATTCATTTATCGATCGATTTCTTAACAGATTTTCGCTATCGGTAGCTTACGCCTCTTCTGGTCGGATCGACAATCTCTGGAGGCTTCTGTGAGACTCATTCATGAAGCCTGATGTCATCGAGGTCTCGCTGCTGGTTTGTGGTTTCGAATCTGGGCGCTTGCTTACTCCCATGTGTTGCTTACTTCTATATTTGTGTGTGTGTGTGCGTGTGGCTTTGTATATTAGCGTACACTCTGTGTATTCTCCCGTTCATTTGTTTGAAACCGATTTTTATCGCTGTTAAGTATATGTTACTGTATAAAACCCCGAATTTTTATAAATTTCGTGAAGCTATCCTTTTTATCTTCTTTATCATTAAATATACACTAAATAAGAATAAGAATATATATTGCTTACTTCTATATTTGTGTGCGTGTGGCTTTGTATATTAGCGACCGTTAGGAGGTAGCATCCGCCAAACACGAGCACGTCAGTATCTGCTGCAGCCATTGGCATCCGATTGCGTCACTTGGAACGCACGCGTGCAAACATATACGCGACATATCTGGGATATAGACGAACGCGAGTCCTGGTTCGCGCTCCTGAGACCTTGACGTATTAGACGAGAGGGAGAAAAAGAAAGAGAGAAAGAGTAATCTTTTGTACTTCCTCGAAGGAATTGCTAATAAATAACGCTGCCGTTAATTTCCTTCCCGGATCCGGTGATTTTATTTAAAAACATTAATCAAGAATCATGTATTGATTGTTCTTTATGTAAAGATCTAAAAAGGTCTAATGTAAAGATTAGATGAGAAAAGAACCAAAGGTAAAAAACGGAAGGTTGACATTCTTCTCTAGAATTTCTGTGTCAAACGTACATATATATCATAATAACAATGGCGATAGTTCGGAGAATTATTTCTACTCGTCGTCAATTAATGAGACCCCTCGCGAGTCCTCTCGTAGGTGGGCGTCTTTCATTAGTTGCATAAAATCGGCAATTATTATAGCATCGGTGCGATTCTTCTCTCTTGTTTCTTTCTTTCTTTATACGAACGCGTCGCCCGCGGGCATTTCTCGGCGCGATATGAAAAATGACGTCGTTCTATTCGGGTCTCTTACAATGCCGGCACGATCCGCTGGCTTTAGAGGACTCGCGCTATTATTGTGCATTACTCGTAGAGTCGCGTGGGGATGCACATTTTTCAGCGCATTGTAAAGAAGAGAGATGAATGTGTATGCATGTGTAAATTAGTGATCGCGATTTAAATGAGACGTCGGGATAACTGTTGGCGCCATTGACAGCGCCGTTACAATCTGCCAGAAAGAAAGTTTAAGACTACAAAGATCCGGGAAATTATTCGAAATAATTAGGAATTGATTATACGAATAAATCCGTCTTTCATTATCCAAATCTATAAATCGAGGATGAATTATTCTCGGATAGAAAGGTAAAACTACGAAATTTTCTTAAAATTATATATCATAAAAATGCTGTCTATCTTCTTTAATCTCTCTTCTTTATACATAACTTTTTTAAGGAAAAATGAGCATAAAAATTATAAAAGAAACTATTAAGAATAATTTAAAAAAGATATTGTATCGAAATTATAATAGTTAATAATAATTTCATAATTATATTGTAATTGAGGTTTTGCATCCGGATATGAAGTAGAAAATGCCGATACTTTAATCATAAGGAAAGAAAAGGAAGGAGAATATTCGGGTCGACAAACAACTCGATAAGAAATACTTAAATATTATTAAGAAGAGTGTCCCCTTCCTCCTCCGGGTATAAAAAAAAATATCGCACAGAGAGCTGGTCCTGCCAGATCGTTTTTCGTCGTCTTCGATCGAAAACTCTCGTCATCTCTCGACCGCCTTCCTTTTTCCCCCCTTCGAACGCGAGATAGCAAACTGCGCTCGTACGGTCACTTTCTTTCTTTCGACGATGACGACGACGACGACGACGACGACGAAAAGGACGACGAAAAGGACGACGACGAGTCGGTCACACGCGCTTTTTCGCGCGGCGTTCCACATCCTTTGTCCGCGCGCCGTAATTATATGACTTCGCGAACGAGATCATTCAATTCGAAGTCACGCGTGTCAAAAATTCTGCCGGTCATCTGCCCGTTTTTCCCAAACCACAAATCGGTCGATGAACACCGAGCGTTTCGGAGTAACTCCGAAATACCGGATCTGGAGTGTTGATTTTCAACAATTTTCAAAAGAGAAAACGAGAGATAAAATATTTCTAATTAAATGCGATTAATATTCTCTCTTTCGGAAAGAAATCCGGAGCCGCAGCATTCAAACTCGCATTTTTGAAATTTTGCAAATTTTTGTATTTTACTTGATCGATTATAAAAGTTTTTTGCGGAGCGGGAATCCGATTCATAATTAAATCTTGAAATTCGTCAGGTCGCGGTGCGTTTCTTAAGAAATTGATCAGGATTAAGAAAAGAGAGATAAATGTTTGCGGATCGATTATGACCACTCGCAGGAGCCGCGACAAAAGCTTTTTGACGCGCATGGTTGATCTTCGTGTCCGGTTTCGTCATCTCAAAAACACTTGTCTACACTCGCATAACAATTTTTTGTTCAACACACATATACATTGCCTTTTTCAGAAAGATTAATCCGTGTTAGGGGTTCCAGGAAAAAATTATTTTTCCGCTTCATATCCTGCTTCTTTCATAATTTTTAGACTCATTTTCTCTTATATAACTTTAAGAAAATTTTGTAGTCTTACTTTTTTTATTCGAAAATAATTCAGACCCCCTTTGCAGATTTGGATAATGAAAGACGCGAATTTATCCGTATAATTAATTTCTCTCTGAAAAAAACATTGCAAATTTGAAATTATAATAATCAACGAAGAAAATGTGTAACTAGTATCTATCACTCTCACATAGAAACCTCCCCGCTGTATAGATATTTATAAACGCTTGGCGTAGTTATTCAAGTAACTATGTTAACGCGCGGGATATTTTCTGCATTCCTCGCGCGAAACCGCGACGCAATCCGCAGCTTTTTATCTCGACTCCGGCTATAGAAAGACGGACATTTCTCGAGATAAATACGACCGAGCATTCATCCGCGACGTTATTTTTGTTTACATCCCTTTTTTTACGTTCAACGAAAATACAGTGCGATTGAGACACCTCTAACGTTTATTGTATCGAGCGAAATTTCGATAGGTGGATCTCCTTATCGATCCTTAGACGAGCCTTAGTTTGCCGATTAATTCGCCAATTGGCCATGAAAGTCAGTTTTAATCGGGTCGATCGAGAGAGACGCGGCCCTTCTCTCGAATCCCGAGCCTTTCGTTTGTCCTGGTTTCGTTTGTCGCCGACGTCATTATCGTTATTATTGCGCTCGTAATCTACGCTGGTTCGAGGAGACAGAGTTATCGCTGTTAAAGGGCGGTCGCGCCGTTAGTTAGATTGAACGCGTCGCCAGATAACGATCGTAATGCAAATTGCACGAATTCTATCGCCCATTCCCTCCTGTAAGCTAAAGGCTAACCGAAGGGATCGTGCGATCGCGATCGCGATGGAAAAGAGAGAAACGCGCTCGCAACGGCGGGAAAAAAAGCGCGTCACGCGCGCCGGTCGATCTCGTATCTGTCAGCAGATAATATCGAATTCCGATGGCGGCTCACACCCACTCTCCACGTGGGTGAGTTACATGCCCGTGACGAGAGGAGAACGCGCCCCGATTCATTACAAAAATTCGTCTTTCTCTTATATCCGAAAGAGGTGATGTAAATTTAAATTCCAGACATATTATAAGCTCGCAGTCAAAACGGAATATAAAATTATTCTTGTAATATTTTTTTTTTGAGGGGAGGGCATGTATAAAAATTATATATAATTATTTAGAAGTTTTTTTTAAATAAAAATTATCTCTTATCTAAAGAAGACGATGGTGAAGAACTAAAAAAAAAAATTATTATACGACAGCGAGAGGTTTCTCGTGCTCTGGTTACGAGTCTGGCGGATAAACGCCATCGCCGCCGCCTCTAACGTTTATCCATAAATCAATTTAATCGTGCGTACAGCGCCGATAAACATCGCGCCGAGCTAATGTAATCGTCCTAGTGCCTCGTCCCTCGGTTTAGACCGCAGAGTATGTAGTTTCTCTACCTCGCAAAAACTTCGATCCGAAGCACCCCTCCCGCCTCGCGCCTTCTCTTAATGCGACATTTATCGTCTTTAGCTCGCGACCTGTCGTGCAACATACTTGCGAACGCATTTACACGCGTAACACGTGATTCATTATATTTTCTTTTCGTTCTTCGTATTGAAATTTTATACATATAAATATATGTGTTTTATATAAAATTATCAATCGATGAGTTGTGTGTGATTCCAATATCCGTAATATAATTTTATTATATATAAATAAAATTTATTATTACAAATATAATCAAAAGATTTAAAATTTTATAATTGTAATGCAAATCTATATAATAATTTATATAATCTATATAAATTACTTTCGGAAAATAATAACATAAAAGCTTGGTTTGTGACTGAAATTTTTTACATTATAATTATCACGTTTAATGTGGGTTACTTCTCCGAGAACATTTTCAATCTTCCGTGAACCGCGACTCTCGATTCTGTTTATACAAAAA